CTCTCTCTCTCTCTCTCTCTCTCTCTCTCTCTCTCTCTCTCTCTCTCTCTCTCTCTGTCCTTCTCTGCAGCCTGAAAACATCATGCTGCTGGACAAGAACGTGCCGTTACCGAGAATCAAACTCATTGATTTCGGTCTCGCCCATAAAATTGAAGCTGGTGTTGAGTTCAAAAACATCTTTGGAACACCGGAGTTTGTAGGTAGGAAGAAATAAACACACAAACACAAACAGGAAACAACAAATCACAAGTCAGAATCCTCCACAGCGACACACACCAACACACACTGACACACACCGACACACCCGCTGACCTGCAGTCAGGAAACATGAAAGAAAAATACAACAAATAAACTGCTGCTCCTGCTGAGACGCTCCAGTGTTCACTGCTGCTGTGATGTTTGTGTCCACACACACTGTAAATGTCCACACAGAGACACAGTCCAGGGACGTCCAGTGAGAGGACAGAAGAAAAGAGAACTTGTAAACTCAGGAGACACTCAGCCACGCTCACATCACAAATCACAGACATAAACCACCAAGTTGCAGCTGAATCATTTTGCTTTCTGATATTATCATGTGTTCTGGTTTGAAAGTTTGACAGCAGTTCATAATGTGATTGACTGACATGATTGACAGCTGTGTCAGAGACTCCTCCGCTCTGATTGGTTGTTTTTTCCATATGCTGTAAGGCCATTAGAAGCGCTACGAAGAGGAGGAATGTGATTTCTTTTTTTTTTTTTCACAGATCATGTGTCTGATCAATTAAACCAAACTAAACTAAACTGAAAAATAAAATAAACTAACTTAAACTAAAATAAAATAAAATAAACTATTAAACTAAACTAAAAAATTGAACTAAATTAAAATAATTAATTTAACTAAACCAAATAAATTAAACTAAACTAAACTATTTTTTTACTAAATTAAATATAATTAAACTAATATAAACTAAAATAAAATAAATCACATTCAACTAAATGAATTGAAACGATTTGAACTGAAATAAAAGTAAACTAAATAAAATAAATAAATAAATAAATAAATAAAATAAAATAAGTTGAACTTAACTAAACTTAACTAGGGTGGAGAACCAGTAAAGATACTTTAAAGAATCACAAAGGGGCTTCAGACGTTCTCTGCGATGCAGCAGTGTTGTAAAGCACCTCAACCTGCGCCAAAGAACCGCTGAGTTATCAGCATTTTTTTGTGGATAGACACAAGAAAAAACGAGACAAAAGAGAAGTAAAAAAAAAAGAAAAGAAAATGAGAACACAACCAGCTCACGTAGTTTCATCATCAGAGTTAAAGATGGTGTGAAAGAAAAAGGAGGAAATAAAGGGGTAAGGGTCATTTTAGCTTTGACCACACAAAACATTTCAGCCTGCCTGGTCTCAAAGCACTTTGAAGTTGTCTGTCTCCCAATAAATAAATGACTGCGACCCTTTTCTACTGAAAGAATGAACTGTATTCATCCCATATTCTGCACTTTAGGACGAGCTCAGAAAAGATGAGTTAAAGTCCACTCGTCTGATTAACATTTAGTAGCATTTAACAGCAAGATCCTCATCAGTCTGGTTTAAATGACCCTGGACTGTACAAAATAAAGCCTTCCATTAAATGTTAAAGCTCATCAGATATCTGCAAAGACTCCAGAGATGACCGGAGGAGTCAGTGTGCTTAAAGAGACCTTGATATGAGATGTTTAGAGGTGGAGACAGAGGCAGTAATGTGTCACACTGAAGCAGACTCTGCTTATCATCAGCTGCTTTAACAGAGATGCATTCATCCTGTCATCTGTTTGTCTGTTAAGCACCAGAGATCGTCAACTACGAGCCGCTGGGATTAGAAGCAGACATGTGGAGCATCGGGGTCATCACCTACATCCTGCAAGTGAACCACAAATACCACAATGCACTACACATGATACCTCAGCTCAGCTCAGACCGGACGATGACCTGCTCCTTCCTTCATGTTCTCTTCCAGGCTGAGCGGTGCTTCACCTTTCCTGGGGGAGACCAAACAGGACACGCTGGCAAACATCTCAGCTGTGAACTATGAATTTGACGAGGAGTTCTTCGGTCACACCAGCGAGCTGGCCAAGAAGTTCATCAGCCAGCTGTTGGAGAAGGATAAGATGTAAGAGACATTTTCCTCTGCTAACTTGTGTCAGTACGAGAAAGGTCATCTGAAAGTTGCTTTAGTTTTGTAATGTTCTCCAGAATCACGTAACCCCACTGTGATTAACAAACCTGAGAAATATTTGTTTTATTTTACAGGAAGAGATTAACAATTCAAGATGCTCTCAATCATCCGTGGATCAAGGTACAGAGACAACTTTAGACATTTTATTTTTACTTTGTCTGCATCTTGTGGCGTTATAGAAGGAATCTTCTTACTATATAATGATGAAAACTGTGTGTGTGTGAATGTTCCACGTTTTTCTCCTCACTGACTTGGTCAATCCATGTGAAATTTGGCACAGTGGTAGAGGGTCATGGGAGGATGCCAATGAAGCAATATTACATCAATTGGCCAAAGGGGGGCGCTATAGCAACCCATTGAAATGTCAAACTTTGAATGGGCATATCTCATGCCCCGTATGTGGTAGAGACATGAAACTTTGCACAGAGATGCCTCTCCTCATGAGGAACACATTTGCCTCAAGAACCCATAACTTCCGCTTATATAGATTTTCCATTTCCATTTTGAATTTTTTGAAAAACACTTCAAATGGATCTCTTCCTAGGAAGTTTGAGCGATCTGCATGAAACTGGGTGAACATAATCTAGGGACCAATATCTAAAGTTCCCTCTTGGCAAAAGTTGGAAAACTTACTAAAACTGAGCTTCTATAAGGCAATGAATATTGCGGAGGGCGTGGCTCATCACATAAAGGTGTATAACATCTCAAGGGTTTCACCCATCACCACGCAACTTTGTAGGCATATGACCACACATAATCTGAGGGGACCCCTCCATTATTGACCCCATCAAACAAAATGGGGGCGCTAGAGAGCTCATTTCTTATCTAGGCCTAACCGCCATATGGATTTTTACTAAACTTGGTAGATATGTAGAACAGGACGCCTCAAGGTGACTGGAGAAATTTAACTCTAATTGGCAACTGGGTGGCGCTATAACAACAGAAAAATGCTTCAAAATGGCTAAAATGCGACCGATCGCTGTGGCTCCCCCTGTGGACCAATGTTGACATTATGTTGCACCAGACAGTGAAACAGGAACCTGTTAATATTTAAATCTGCTCACATTTTGATGCAAGGTTTCCACTTTCTTTTAGCAATGACTGCTGATTTCTTCTATTCTTATTATTTTAACTATCCTCTCTGCAGAATTCTGAACATTTCTGACTCAGGCATATTGAATAATTGCATGAGCTGTCTGTATCTGCTCGTCTCTCTTTTGGACGACAGCTACTAACTCTTTCATCTTTAAACCCTTAAAGTCAAATGAGCACAAGGAGGAAAACAAAGCCAAGGAGCTGAAGAAACGGGAGCGACGCCAGCTGAAGACCAAGCGCCTGAGGGAGTACACCATCAAGTCCCACTCCAGCATGCCACCCAACAACACCTATGTAAACTTTGAGCGCTTTGCCCAGGTGGTGGAGGACATTGACCATATGGAGAGCTCGTTCGTCAGTCTGGCAGTGGCCCATGACTCCCTGCAGGAGGACATCGATGCCATGGTCTCTATATACAATGAGAAGGAGGCCTGGTACAAGGAGGAGAGTGAAGACGTGCGCCACGAGCTCTCCCAAATCCGCTACGAGTTCCGTAAGGTGGAGGCCTTCAAGAGGAGCCTGCAGGACGACATGCAGGCGTTCAGCTGCAGCCTCGGTGCCGTCAGCAGCCGCTACCAGGAGAGACAGAGCCACTTCGATGCTCTGCGGCAGGAGCTCAGCAACGAGCTGAAATGGGTGCAGGAGGTGATGGGGTCATTTCCCATGGACGGAGGCGGTGGAGGGTTCGCCAACTGCAACTTCTCCACCGTCTTCAACAACGACGTGAATGAAGCCCTGAAGGAGCTGCTGAACCGCTCTTGTGGAGGAGAGCTGCTGTCCGGGATCAACCTGGACTTTGAGACCGGACAGCAAAGATAAATGTTCAGTACCTCACAATTATTATGAAACCACAGGAGGCTGTAATGTAGCAGTGTGTTGGTAAAGACACGTAACAGCTTTTCATCTGTGTATTTTCTCTATGACTTATTATAAACTGTATAAAAACATGTATTGGTACTATGGGTGTTTGTTAAAGGGACAGTTCACCCCCAAATCAAAATACATATCTTTCCCTTGACCTGTAGTGCTGTCTATCAGTCTAGATAGTTTTGGTGTGAGTTGTCGAGTGTTGGAGATATCGCCCATAGAGACGTTTGCCTTACCTCCAGTATAATGGAACCAGATGTCACTCGGCTTGTGGAGCTCAAAGTGCCAAAAAATACATTTGAAAAGCTCAACACCAATGTGTCTTTCAAGAAATCATCGGTTACTCAAGATAATCCACAGACCTTGTTGTGAGCAGTTTCATGTAGGAACTAAGTTCTTGCAACTGAACTACACCTGCTAACTGTATCACTGCGCAGAAGGAAACGTGCATCTACTCATGGATGAGAGACTTGTGCATGTGACAGCGTGAGATGTAAACATTAATGGCGTCCTCCTCAGCTGAGCTGTAACGTGAGCTAGCTCGGTCAGTATGTTCACATGACATTAGAGAAAATTGGTTTATTGTGTCGTTCCGACTGAAACCAGACTTTTAAAATCCATGTAAACATGTTAGTCCAACTGAAACGTGCTAAATGTGTCACAGTGGGACTAACACACCCAGATCATGTGACTCCTGCATGTATACAGTCAATCAGACCCAAACTGGCCGAGGCGCTCTGAGCATGCTCCACAGTTTCCGCCCCGGGCTTTGACCCGGAAGTCCAATAGCATTAAATGTGTAAGAGAAGAAGAAGCCGGTAACAACATGGAGAAATCTACATCCAGAGCCGTGACTTTTTGGACGGACCAAATGTACAGAGCTGTAAAGTTGTCCACCATGGTAGCAGTTAGCTGCTAGCTAACCGTAGCTAACTTGTTTGTCCATTGTTTGGTCTGTGACGTAATAGGTCAACAGGAAAAAGGTCCAATACTAACAAGCTGAAAGGGGGCATATCTCCACCTATCGTAGAGGAGTCGCACATACTTGGCTCAATAAATGGATTCCCCTCCCGTGCTTGTATACTGGGACAAGGACAGTAGGCCAGTTAGATGTCCTCGTCCAGCTGGGACTGGAGCTCCACTTAGCTGTGACTGGAAACACACTGAGTGGTGCATGGTGAGTTAGCAGTAGATGCACACTTCTTTCTGTGCGGTGAAGCAGTTTAAGAGGAACTGCGTCTGGTTCATGCAGAGTAAGCTACATAGCTGTATTCATTTTCAGTTTTTGTTTTGGTGGTAAAAATGATCTCAGGATTCATTTAAAATGTCATTCAACTCAAACTTGCGGTCACCCTGGATGGGCCGGCCCCAGACTTAGATTTTTCCTAGTGGACCGGCAGTCCTCATCAGGGTCCATCAGTGGACCAACAGTCCTCATCAGGGTCCATCAGTGGACCAAGAGTCCTCATCAGGGTCCATCAGTGGACCAACAGTCCTCATCAGGGTCCATCAGTGGACTAGTCTCCTGCATGTTTCTGATATGAATGTAATGATTAAATGATATATTTTGGTGGTTTGAGTTGAAGGTGTGAGAAAGAATAGTATCAGTAACATTGTTAACACTGTGCTACATTACAGAGAAATACAAACCGTACTAATGAACCTTCATTAATATAGGCCTATATTTTATCTCCAAGTGCACGTCACACACTGAGCGAGCCGCCTGTTAATGACGCTGTGGGCTAATGGGCATGTAGCTACTTCCATGTTTCAGATGATACGTCATGTTTGTAGTCGACCAATGAAGATGAGTTTACATATCACCTTGGGTTCGTCCTTCACCTTCTCAAAATGATCCCACACTTTGGATTTCCTGCCCGACATGTTATTAACTAGCCTGTGGAATAACCGCAGGTACCAGCCCTGGAAATTAACCTGACTCCTGTCTGACTGCTGAGCGTGGACACTTCCTGTGTCTGTCCTTTCAAATTACACATGGTCCAGTCATATAGGTTTGGATTTATTTTGACAAGATGCAGCTCCTGATAGTTTCAATTTTGTGAATTTTTTTTTCTGCGACTAAGCAACCAATGAAATTTTGCTGATCAATGACCTTTCTGGTCGATTAAGGTTTGGTCGACTGTTGGGGGGGGGCAGTCTTACTTAACAGTGATGAGAGGTGCTGCCTGCAGGGATCAGAGACGATGACCAGCTGAGACTTGAACCAGACTTCAGACCAGGAGAAGCTGCTCCTCCTGAAATCAACACCCAGAGAGCTCCCTCCTTCACCATATGTAGACACTTTCTATTCTGAGACCACATATGGGATGCTCATTTTGACTCGTAGCTGTGACTGTATCACTAAATCTTTTTACCCACAGTTTTTCTTGGGCCCTCCCTTCTTCTTCTCCTTCTCCTTCTCCTCCTTCGTCTCCTTCTTCTCCTCACTACTGGCAGATTTAGGAAAATGGCTCAGCACACAAAGTTTGTGATAAAAAAATTGATACAGTCTCCAAATGTGAGCGTGTAAACATAAAAGGCAGCATGAATGACAGAATCCAACAGACTGAACCTGCAGGAGACAAAGCATGAAGCTTGTTTACCCCTCAGGAAGCTTCACACTGTCACATTTAAAAGCATTTTAGTGAACTGAACGTACAGCAGTTAACCTTTTCACACCACTCTTTGAAAAATGAGCTCTCTGAATGACATGGTGCTGTTGAATGACTTCTTTGCCACCAAACATTCTTTGTAAATGACTGCAACTATGTAATTAACATTTAAACAAAATGATGTCGTAGCAAACAGAACAGACGAGGAGGCGTAAAACAGCACCCGATGTGCTTGTCACAGATGTCAGGAGGTATTATGGTCAGGTACTCCACCGTGATGGATAAACTTGTGTGTCTCCAACACGCCTGCCCGTGTGACTCAGTTTGACAGTTAGATACCTGACCTCAAACATATGAGGTGATAGCATCATCTGATCTAATCCATATTTGTACTGAAAGTCCTGTGATGCTGAAGTCTGTCAGCAGCCACAGAGCTGCAGCCTGTTTGTTCACTCAGAGCCCATAACAACAGTTTATTGGGCAGCTCGTTATTTTCACAAAACTTTTCAAGTGTGTAAGTCCAGATTAAAATGAAGGCTGAGTTCAAAGATAGGTGTGGTCCGAGGAAGAGGGCCGGAAGAAGGGATGGGGCCACTGGCCCAAATCCCCCAGAAACAGTGCTGCGTTTTAAGCCAATTTTACCTACAGGGGCCAAACTTGCAAATACAACTTCAAAATGTGACGCTGTGCAACGAGGCCCAGAAGACTTTTTCTCATAGATTTACATGTGAAAGAGACGTCTGTAAATCAGTGAGTACAGTTTTTTGAGTGTCACAACCCCCACCGTGATGCGATCCATTTGGTTAGATAACATGTCTCTAGCTTATATTGAATTCTTTATGCTTATTTTGAAATATTTGATTTGTCAGGTGGCCAGAAACACCACGTCTGAATAGGCAACAGTTTATAACAACAACTTTACAGCTATAATATGTGAGGAAGACTGAGTGGCGTTTTTCTGCCTTCATTGACCATAAATCAATCATGCAACTTTGAGAGTGTTTTCACACTTGGTCCTTCTTGGCCCTCTAAATGGACTCAGAGCGGTGACTCAGCATTTTGTGTGCATATGTGAACACTCCAAGAGAACTCAGACCACCTCGGGAGGTCAGAGGTTACTGTTACAACAGATGCAGAAACTACTCAGGCAGCAACCTGCAAACCGTCTCTGCAGCCTGCGTCCTCATGGTGAACCTCTCATGTTCACACCCACAGTACACCTGCTTTACTAATACCAGACTGAAAAGTTGATTAATCAATTAGTCAAAAGAAAATGTCTCAGTGGCATTGTATTTGACATTTGCAACAGCTTCTCAAATATGAGCATTTGTTTTTTTAATTTTAATTGTACATGAAATATAAAATATATATTTAAATATCTAATATCTCATTTAGAAAATGAGTCAGCCGAAAAGGATGTGAAAAGATATCATCTTGTGATTGTGTGACAACTGACTTTAAAAACATAAACTTTGATTAACTGATTAAAAAAACAGCATAAAGAGATAATGAAACCCTTCTGATTAATCCAGCTGAACTTGTTGAAAACGTTACATGAGGAACAACAAAAGAAAGAATGAATTTTAAAAAATGGTAACAAACAAAAACACACTGGAGTCCAGTGAAACATGGAGTCACCCAGGAACAAAATCAACAAACATCACAAACAAACAAAAATTAGAATTACCGCCTCATGGTTGTATGACTCCACCCACCAGTCCACCCTGTGGTTGTATGACTCCGCCCACCACCCTGTGGTTGTATGACTCCGCCCACCAGTCCACCCTGTGGTTGTATGACTCCGCCCACCACCCTGTGGTTGTATGACTCCGCCCACCAGTCCACCCTGTGGTTGTATGACTCCACCCACCAGCCCACCCTGTGGTTGTATGACTCCGCCCACCAGTTCACCCTGTGGTTGTATGACTCCGCCCCCTAGTCCACCCTGTGGTTGTATGACTCCGCCCACCAGTCCAGTGTCTCTGACAGTCTCCATCCATGTCAGTGAAAACATGGATGCTTCACACACAGAAGATCTATACAATCAGCACAGTTTCAAGATTAGAGTCACCAATTCAGTATCTGACCAAATGTCTCCCCTTCTGTTCCTGAGATATGACGTTAAAACATGATGATGTCACAATCAAGCTGACCTTTGACCTTTTGACCTTCATTATTTTATCCTGTTAGACATTTGTATCAAGTTTTGTCAGAATTAGTGATTGAATTCTTCAGTTATGGACAAAAACATGTTTTGTGAGGTCACACTGACCTTTGACCACAAAATCAGTTTATTCTTCAGTCCAAGTGGACGTTTGTACCAAATTTGACCAAATTCCCTCGAGGCGTTATTGAGATATCAGTTCACAAGGATGGGACGGACAACCTGAAAACATAATGCTTCTGGCCACGCCCATTCCCGGCATGGAGGCAGAAAAATGAATAAAGTGTTAATATTTCTGACTGATCACTCTTTCAGGTTTACACAGCCTAAGGAAATAGAGCCAGAGGAACTAACACCTCTGAAAGAGGATTAATGCGTCCACACAATGTCGAGCAGCTCCTCACTTCATTTAAACTGTTGACCTGTTATTATCCAAAATAATTTCCACCTGTGCTGCCAAAATCATCCAAACATGAGTTTGTGTTTGATAAATGGAGATGATGAGACACTCAGAGGTGAAATGAGCAGCAGGTAGGTATATTTTATAGTAATGTTCTGACTGTAAAGTAACTAAGCTGTCAAAATAAATATAGTGAGGTGAAAAGTTTCACTTAAATGTTGTAAGAAGTAAAATTAGGGCTAATTTTAATACCTGTATGTACTGTGTGGTTCAACTTAAAGAAATGAAAGGTAACAATTTGCATTTGTGTTTTTAGGTCACTCCAACTCTGGCATTATTGACTCAATCCTACGAGTCTTTTATAATCTCAGACAAACTCAGTTAAGTCAGTACAACCACCATGATTTGCTCTGACTTTGAAAAGCTTAATTAAGTTGAACCAACTTAATATTTATCCAACAGTTGTGTAGACGTTCTAACTTATTTATTTTAGTTCCGTCCTACTCAAAATTGTCAGAACGTGTTTTTGATTTTACCCAGCTTCTTGAAATAAGTTGTCAGATAACTAAAACTATTAAATTTCACAAATGTAAATTTTTACGCTTGGAAAAACATATTTATTTCAAGCATTATCAACTAACCTCATTAATCATTTTTTAGAGTGAAGGAATAAATTTGTACTTACAGTACAGGCCAAAAGTTTGGACACACCTTCTCATTCAATGTGTTTTCTTTATTTTCATGACTATTTACATTGTAGATTCTCACTGAAGGCATCAAAACTATGAATGAACACATGTGGAGTTATGTACTTAACAAAAAAAGGTGAAATAACTGAAAACATGTTTTATATTCTAGTTTCTTCAAAATAGCCACCCTTTGCTCTGATTACTGCTTTGCACACTCTTGGCATTCTCTCCATGAGCTTCAAGAGGTAGTCACCTGAAACAATGTAAATAGTCATGAAAATAAAGAAAACGCATTGAATGAGAAGGTGTGTCCAAACTTTTGGCCTGTACTGTATATTGAACAGTGACAATACATTTCTTTGTTGATGATATTTTCTGTTATTTATCTGAATCTGCAAAGTAACTAAAGGTTTCAAATAAATGGAGGCGAGTGCAGTAAAATATTTGTCTCTGACATGTCGCGGAGTATAAAGTATATAAAGTATAAAGAGTCAAAGTGGAAAGTAAAATACAAGTATCACAAAATGTCACTTAAGTACAGTACTTAAAGTAAATGTATCAGTATGTTATTCTCCCTCTGTCTGTCTCCTCGCTCTCTGTCAGCTCTGTGATGTCAGCGTCCTAAAAAAGACACAAACACAGTTAAAAGTCTCTGGCGCTGCGATAAAGAGGGAGCTACAGCCGAGGCTGGACGCCTGTGTGTGTCTGCTCTGTAAAGATAAACACGGCACACTTCACACTCCACTGGACATCACCATAACATCGTTACATCATCACATCAGGTCACCACAGGGTTAACTTCTATTTAATAAGTGATAATAATTATTAACAAACAGAACGACTGCTGATGATTAATGTTTGTCTGTTTCACCTTAAAATGTTTCATTTATTCATATTTGAATTAAACTAGTCTTTGTCATATTTATTTATACTTTATGTTTATTCTAATGTTCATACTCTTGTACTTTTACTAGAGCACATTTTTAATGCAGGACCTGTAGTATCTGTAGGAGAGTATTTCTACACTGTAGTATTAATACTTTTATTACTGGAGTACTTCTTCCACCAACAGGAAATAAATCCAACAGCAGCAGTGAAACTACGAGAGGGCAAAATATTGATTATACAGGATGTGTTACGGCTGGTTCCTCTTCTAAAAATGGCTATAGTGCGAACATCAATTATAATTTGTCACGTCATTTTATGAATGGTACCTGATTTAACTTTATTATAACTATTTAACTTTACTATAAAATAAAAATAACTATAACCTACTTATAACAAATGTATTATTACTGTGCTTTCTTTAACTTTATTGCACCAGTTCTTTAACCGTATAAATACTTTATTAAACATTGTTATAACAGTATTAGTAGCTGACTTTATTTAATTGTATTTTATTCAGCTTTACCAAAACATTACTTAACTTTATCTTAACTGTGCTTTATTCAACTTTGTTATAACAGTATTTCATTTAACTTTATCATAATATTCAACTTTATATATATATTATACTTTATTAAACTTTATTATAACTATGCTTTATGTAACTATGTTAGAAGTGCTTTATTTAACTTTATTTAAATGTACTGTGTGTAACTTTTGTTTTACAACAGACTGAACTTTAACTTTTTTATAACAGTATTAAAATATTTTTTTTTAACAGTAGCCTACTGTATTTTATTTAACTTTTTTTTTCAAACAAATGCCTACTCAGCTTTATTATAACTGAACTTTAACTTTATTATAATTGTACTTTATTAACTTTTTTTATAACAGTGTGTAATTTAATTTTTATCATAATAGTACTTTATGTAACTTTATTGTGACAGTAGTTTATTTAATAGTTTAGTATTTAAGTAGTTTACAGGAGATATGAGAATATTGAGGTATATATCATGTATCATACAGATATATGTAAGATATATTATTTATAGACCTTATCGTTCAGCCCAGAGTGAGACAGTTCATGCATATTTAATATACCATGAGTGACAGGTAAGAGTGAGATGGCAGTGTTGGACTCCGTCATGTGTGTTAGAACCTTTTGTGTCTGTGGGCGTGGATGAGCCGCTGTGGGCTGTGTGGTGGGAGCACACAGGGACAGACACACAGACACACAGACAGTAAGGTAACCAGGCAGACAGACACCCTGAAAGACAGACAGACAGACAGGTCCAACGTCACAGCCCTGGGGGCTGGAGCTGGGGCTCGCTGAGGGTTGGGACTGAGCTGCTGCTGCCCGGACCCAGTCGCAGAGGAAGGTACAGGAGAGGCGGGTCATGGACATCCATGCATGGCTCCGTCCTTTCACAGTAACGTTATCAAAGCGGACGGATATTGACTGAAGCGTTGGTGTCGATGCAATGAAGCCCAGCCAGGTTCTTGTGTGAGCACCTGAGCACACGACAGGAGGCCTCTGACAGTTTACTGGTAAAACAGCTTTTTATATTCCAGCTAACGTTACTGAGTGCAGCTAGCATGCTAACGTGCTCTGACGCTATGATACAGCAGATACCTATTACTGGCCTTTGGGGCTCTGTGGACAGGTATTCATGCTAACATGACCATGTAACCTAAATATTACCCCCCTGTCACACCTGCACACCAGGCTGTTAGCTCTGTGTTCAGGTATTTTATGGTTTGCTAGCAGAGTGACGGGAGGAGAGTTAGCTAGCGTTAGCTAACGTAAACAGTAGCGAGAGTTGACAGCCGTTGCACAACAAACTGCAAACACTGTCACATTTAAGGTTTGTCTCAAGAGCTAGTGAAGCTAGGCACTGTTCAGGCTGCTCGTGTGAAGCCTTGCGTTTAAATGTTTGTCTCCTGTCATGTCAGTGATGTGTGAAACGGTTAGCTTTGGTGATTATCACAACAGGAAAGACTGCTCCTCTAATCTGACACAAGAAGCAGGTTAGCAGCTCTCTGCCTCCAAGCTGCTGCTGTGTCATGGTACTGTTAGCTGTCTAATGTTATCTGCCGGTGTTAGCTAGTTGTGAGCTAACAACACCAGCAACATTATTTTATTTAGCTTGGGCCGGTGCTGCAGGGGATGTGTCCAGTTAGCTAGCTAGGTGCTAACCGCCCATAAGCTGTGGTCGTATATAAGGAGCTGCAGTGTGAACCTCATCAGTGTGACTGTCAACACGGTGAAGGAGTGTCTGAAGGAGGTCCCTCACCTTCACTGTAACCTGGAGCAAAACAGGCTCCAAGATGTCACTGATAAACATGACAGTTGTTTATACAACAGGAGGTGGATTTACAGCACCTCAGGCTGCAGAAACGCTCAGATCTTTAAGCAGAAGTGTTAATATCACAGTGCAGGAATACTCTGATACAAGTCAGAGGCCCTGCATTCAAAATGTACTGAAATGGACAGTTCAGACTTTCTGTAGCAGGGTTATATGAGGTCATTATATATAGTCAGTGTAGTACAAACAGTAGATGTCAGTCAGCACGTCCCCAGTTTGAAGAAGCAGGTGGAGTCTGACACAGAAGCTAAGCAATGTACTGCTGTGGACAGGGTCAGCAACAAAACATATTTTACCCCCTAAACAAAGCCCCGCCTAAGAAAATCAATATCCATGTAAGTGTATGCTATAGTGAGAGTATGTTCACCGCCTCACCTTGCTGTCAGACAGCCTGTTTCAATGGGGAAGACTCTTTATGTTAACAGCTTCACCTCACCATCACATTTTGGCCGCTTGTATCCGCAATCTCATTCTTTCGCTCACTAACCAGAGCTCATGACCACAGGTGAGGGTTGGGACGCAGGTGGACCAATAAATTGAAGGCTTTGCCTTCGGGCGACTCCCGGGTGTCTGGGCTCAGCCTTAGACAAAGGGTTAGGAGCTCGGACATTTGGAGGGAGCTCAGAGTAGAGCCGCTGCTCCTTTGTGTTGAAAGGGGTCAGTTGAGGTGGTTTGGGCATCTGATCAGGATCCTCCTGGGCACCTCCCACTGGAGGTGTTTCAGGCATGTCCCACTGGTAAGAGGCCCCGGGGCAGACCCAGAACACACTGGAGGGATTATAAATCTCATCTGGCCTGGGAACGCCCCAGGATCCTCCAGGAGGAGCTGGAAAGCGTTGCTGAGGAGATGGACATGTGGGGTGCCCGCTGCCCCTGCGACCCGGCCCCAGATAAGCAGATAAAGATGGATGGATGGATGGATGGATGGATGGATGGATGGATGGATGGATGGATGAATGAATGAATGAATGGATGGATGGACCTCCCCATCTGTGCTCTCATCAAAACCCCCAGGCCCCACTGACAAAACAGTCAGTACATTTCCATGCACAGTTAGCTTGAGCTACAGTCCCAGCTGGACGAGGACATCTAACTGGCCTACTGTCCTTGTCCCAGTATACAAGCATGAGAGGGGAATCCATTTATTGAGCCAAGTATGTGCGACTCCTCTACGATAGGTGGAGATATGCCCCCTTTCAGCTTGTTAGTATTGGACCTTTTTCCTGTTGACCTATTACGTCACAGACCAAACAATGGACAAACAAGTTAGCTACGGTTAGCTAGCAGCTAACTGCTACCATGGTGGACAACTTTACAGCTCTGTACATTTGGTCCGTCCAAAAAGTCACGGCTCTGGATGTAGATTTCTCCATATTGTTACTGGCTTCTTCTTCTCTTACACATTTAATGCAACTTTACAGCTCTGTACATTTTGTACGGCTGTAGATTTCACCGTATTGTTACCGACTTCTTGTTCTTCTTCTTGTTTATTTTTTGAGAATAAACTATAATTGAATAGATCTTTGCTTTCCACCAGGATGGAAATTTGTCTTCAGCCCACCAAAACACAGGAAACACACATGATAATAAACAGATGAGCAGCTAATAAAAGGGTCATTAGAAAATCTGTACACATTGAATCTGCTCATGTCAGTGTCTGTCTCTGGTTTCAACCCATCAGTCACTTTCCTGAGTTTAAAATACTGATGGTGTTTAAGATGAAAGACTTTTGAGTACTTTTTTTATTGTAGTTTTGTTATTTGCCAGCCACTTTTCATTCCTTCCAGTCAGATCTACTCTGGCAGAATGCATGCTGTGATCAGGTCACGTTTTGAGTCTCTTGTTATTGGCCCACTGGGTCATGACATCGATGTTAGGTCTGGGACGCTTCAGCCAGGAGTGTTTTTGTTTCTGTACCTGGCGTAGAATTTGCAAAAATCATACAAGGTGCTGAGACTGGTTGCTTCCAGGGGGGCAGGTTTATTTTAGCTGTAAGATAATAGGCCGCAGTTTACAGTGATTTCAAATCCTCAGGGCAGAGTCCCCTACAGGTGTGTTTGTGAAATCCTGCACCTGCCAGTACCCCTGAAGCTCCATACCAGAACCAACCTGTTACCTGTGCTTATGTCAAAGTCAAGCCACACCCGCCCACACCTGTTAATAAAAGTCCTGCGACCTGAGCTGCACTTGTGATCAAACCCCCCCAGGCTCCAGTCCCTCACGTGAAGCTGGTTCTCTGTTCTTGAATTGGACGTCTCTTTGACTGGATGGTGAAAACATTCAATCACTGCCAGGTTAGGAAACATGTTAGCATGCTCCTTCCACCACCATCAAACCTCCAAAGGATCCGAACTCCATGTAGGCTGCCACCTCATCCTTGGGCGGTGACCAATGTGACCACAGGGTCTAAGTTTACACTTGTGTCAATATATTACACACATACTGCGCATCTTTTTGCTGTGTTTTTTTCTGAAAAATATAAAATATATTTTTATTCATACCCGCTGCCCGCTCCCCACGTAGTTCATTTTTACCCGTAAATTTATATATAAATATTTTTACTCTTTACACAGCTTTTTGCGGGTTAACTGTTGGGTACTTGACCCAATGCAGGTGTCTGCTTTGGTCTCTCATGTGTGATTCGTTACATAAACCCTGCAGTAAAACTTAAATGTTGAGTTTTATTTTTCAGTTGATCCCACAGAGGTGTTTATTAATTTCCGGGGCTCTTATATATGGTGGTGTTGTTTTGGTTAGCTTTGGTTAGAGAGTTCCACCTTAATTTACATATATGATGGGGACACCTGCCAATACCATACAATCTACAACAAAAGGAAAACTCACTGCTACACTCATCAGCTGTATTGTTCTCTGGCTCTGAAACATCTTTTGGTACAAACATCCAGCATGAGTTATGATGCTGATGAATTCTCTTGCATAAAATGCTTGGTTTCTCAGATAGATTTTCGTGACACCTCCCATCCCTCCCATACACACACCCACAAACACACACTTGAATGTGACCCTTGTCAGAATTTGTTGAGTTTGCTGGTTGCTTCACACCCCTTTACTCGAAGGGTATTAATCATATTCCTCCACAAGAGAATTCCAGTCAGTGTCTTTTATAAACATATTTGAATAGGATGTTGATATTCATATTTTAATACCTGGTGTACGTTATGTCGAGATAAAGATAAACTCAGAGGCATCAGAAGCAGTAGTGTCGGCTATAGAGAACCAGTTCTAGTTTGCAGCTAGGGGTGCAATGGTATGAGATTTTCATGGTTAGATTATCTCAGCAAATATCTTGGTATCACAGAATTAATGTTATTATCAGTCAGAATGGCCCTTGAGCCTGGTTCAGACCAAAGGTTGGTGACGAGACAAAACTGTTTTGGGAAATTGCAGAGAAAAGTGTCAGCAGTGTGAACTGGGAAGTCTGAGCTCGACTCAAGTCGGCTGATGGTGTCACCTGACACTCTACTGGTTAAATTGCCAGTGGCTGGTTTTAAAGCATGTCACCTGTTTTAACAGCCAATCAGCTTGTAGTGAAGTCCGCTGGTCAAATTAAAATGACCGCAGAGAGTTGTTGACTAGAGATGATACACCGTCTCATGGTGGTCACTTCCTGTCGACGTTACAGATCAGAAGCACAGAGAGTTGTTGACTAGAGATGATACACCATCTCATGGTGGTCACTTCCTGTCAACCTGCAGCTTTTTACGATGTTGCAGAATAGTGCATTACAAGTAGTCACCTGTTCCAGCTCGTCTCATTGCAAATCTTTGGTCTGAACTGGGCTTTAGAGGAATGAAAACAGGAGGTTTACTGTTGGTTGATCAAATGTTTTATTGCTATAACTGAAACTTGAAACCATTTTGTTCATGGAAGTTTGTGTAAAAAGTCTCCCCTTTGAAAATAAGTCAAACAAAAGGAAATCCTCCGTCCAGTTGCCTTTTTTTTTTCAATATCGTAGATAAGCAAATGTACATGGTCTGATAACAGTCAACTATTATATCACAGGATACCTTGAAAGCGGTATATTGCTGCCACCCTAGTTGCAGCTGGTGTCAGATTTTATTTTCGTTAAAAAGCTTTCTGTTCCACTTATCAGGTCTTTGAAGCTAAGTTTGGACTTATCTGACCTGTTATGTAAAGGTCGACATGTGTGTGGTGTTTACAATATGGCAGATTAGAGTTAGTCCTCTAAAGTATGGCTACACTTTGCAAATGACAGCAGCGGTAAAATGAATTGTCATCACTGTGCAGTTATGATTTTGGTTCAGTTGCTAAGAGTTCATGTAACATGGCAAAGCATTTAAAAAAATCTCAATTCAATGGCAGTAGTTTTGACTGAGAGCAGAGCTCCACCCTGCCTCACACTATCTTTCACTACAGCGTGGTGTAAGAGTGGAAATCTGAAGTGTTGAGTCAGCGGACAGCCCTTTGTCAACAGGGAAAAGATGGATTACCTGCATTATCCTCTGTTTTATTATGTAAAAAGTAACATGTACCTTGATTATCTCATCTGCTTTGAATGCACACTGATCAATTTCAAAGAAAATGCTGGTTTCTTAACCTGACGTCATGTGATCATTGAGTGAAGAAGCTGTGTTAAATTTGTGTCTAGTAACATCTTGCAAACTGGAAACTATTGATAACCTCAAACTGAAGATTTTTTCCAAAGTTTTATCTGGCCCTGAATAAAGTTCACATATGACAGGCTTAATGTTAATGTTTTGGTGTGGCTTTAATGTTTTCAGGACTGATGGCTCCAGAGTGACATGCCATGGCTTTAATGATCCCCCCGGTGAAGCTCAAATGGCTGGAGCACCTAAACAGCTCATGGATCACGGAGGACAGCGAGTCCATCGCCACACGGGAGGGAGTCTCGGTGCTCTACTCAAAGCTGCTGGCCAACAAAGAGGCTGTGCTGCTGCCCCAGCAGGTGCTGTGTCTGAAGGGCCCCCAGCTTCCTGACTTTGAGCGTGAATCCCTCTCCAGCGATGAGCAGGAGCACTACCTGGACGCTCTGCTCAGCAGCCAGCTGGCCTTGGCCAAGATGGTCTGCTCTGACTCTCCCTTCGCTGCTGCCCTGCGCAAACGCGTGCTGGTGCTCCAGCGCATCTTTTATGCACTTTCCAACAAGTACCACGACAAGGGGAAGGTCAAGCAGCAGCAGCACTCTCCAGAAAACAACTCGGGCTCTGCTGATCTGCACTCTGTCAGCGAGCGGCCGCGCTCCAGCACCGACGCGCTCATCGAGATGGGTGTTCGCACTGGCCTCAGCCTTCTGTTTGCTCTGCTGCGGCAGAGCTGGATGATGCCTCCTCCACCTAGCCCCGGTGGAAGTCCTGGGGGCAACATAAACTTGTGTAATGATGTCATTCACACAGCCATTGATGTGGTCAGCTCCCTGCCACCTCTCTCCCTGGCCAACGAGAGCAAGATCCCGCCGATGGGCCTGGACTGCCTGGCCCAGGTCACCACTTTCCTGAAGGGGGTGACCATGCCAAACTCTGGGGCGGATATTTTAGGGCGGCGACTCGCCTCAGAGCTGCTGCTAGGGCTGGCCTCACAGAGGGGCTCCCTGCGCTACCTGCTGGAGTGGATTGAGATGGCCTTGGCTGCATCAGCTGTGGTCAGTGCCATGGAGGAGAACAAGGTGCTACAGAACCAAGAAGGGCTCATCGGATATGACTGTTTCATGAACATCCTCATGCAGATGAGACGTTCTCTGGTAAGTCAACTTTAACTATGACACTGGCAGGTTGGAAGTTTATTTAGTGGTTTAATAAGTCAAAGCAGAAGGCAGCAAATGTTACGTGCTGACACAGTCGACAGATTTTCATTACTCTGAGCTGTCAGATGGGCTTTAAAATGTCATGCTCCTTCTATTGGATATAATTATTAGTATTATTTATCCAGCCAGTTATTTTTGTTTGGTTGGAAACCTGGAAACAGAAGATGCAAAAAATGTTATATAAATGGTTGTTTTTGGTTCATATTAGATTTAAGAGTGCAAGGGTGATGTTACAAGGGTCTGTTGCAAGCAGGGTGTCTGCAGCTCCTTAAAAAGTCTTTAATTCAATTTTATAAATATTTAAAACCTATTAAATAGTCTTAAATTTGAATTTGTGAGGTCTAAATTGCCACAAACATTTTATCTAACTTAATTTATCCATATTTAAATTTATTTTTGTCAAAATGAGTCGAGCTCCTCTGTGTGAAAGTCACATGTCTGTTGTTACAAATCTTTAAACCTGCCACTGAACCTTATACACCTTTTTACACAGAGATGATGCTAAAGAGACACTTTTAAGTCCCTTCTTTATGCCGCCTTTGCATTTTTACACAGACTCAAGCGACAGCGGCATCATGTCACTCCAGTGTGTTATTTTAGACAGCATGTTGGCATAGCGAAATGAAAAGAGGTGTGACGGGCGTGATCTGTAACACAACAGTGTTGCCCTCTTGTGTGACATATAACATAGGCGTCGGCAGCTATTTATAAATAATAACAATTGCATAACGTATCAATAATGATCATATACCACCTCTGTTATATGGTGGCTGATCTTGTCCTGTGCTCGGAGGGTAAGGAGCTCCCAGACCTCACTGTTTTCCAAATTTTGTCGGCCTTTTTTAGCTGCTGTTCTTCTCAGTTCATTGCTGCCCATTATCCCGTCCTGCTGGCTTTCCCTTTTATACAGACATCGTTTTGGTGCTGTTACTACCTGATGCTGGTTTAAAGGCCACACAACTCTGTCCCCCAACTCCGTGATCATACCTTCTATACAGAAGGATGAGGCGGCATGACGGCTGCCTAGAAGAGGCCATGCAAAAACCAATAATCTAATGTACCATATTCTTACATAAAACCTTCCTCTGCACGGAACCATGTTACTGACCTTTATACTTAACCTGCAATGCTTGAATAAGAAAAAGAGGATTTGTCCAAAAATCTGGGTTAAATTCTGTTAAAAATTAGGGATGCACCAAATATTCGGTAACCGAATATATTTGGCCGAATATTGCAAAAAAACACACATTGGGTATTCGGTGGAATAAGTGAAAAGCATGGCCGAATAATAGCGGCGTGTTTTGATAACGCAATCAAACAGCGTGCGGTGACGGACGGAGTAAAATGTCGGCAGTGTGTTGATATTTTACTCCGTCCATCACCGCACTCGCATTTGCGACTAAAAATAGTTTTGTGTGAGCAAAATAAATTATTCAGCACGCTGTGCGAGTACAGATTTCAACCAGCAGCAGAAAAGAAAGGCGAATCCCGCCGGTTGTGGGTTGAACGGGGGTCACAGACACGGACAGGAATGTATTCCTGTCAAATACGGCGGCCATAATGCTTCATGCAAGATAAGGCTTACCGGCGACAGAGAAGTCCGGCTCCAATATTTTCCCCTTCTTGTTGTCATGACTGCCCAAAAGTACCTGGACAGCTGAGCCGTGGCGGCACACAGGTATGTGGCGTATCAGAGGAGAAACGAGCCGTTGACATTTCTCTCTTTGTGGCAGGTAACGGTCCACAAACCTCACCGCACTTTAGGGAATGTTCTTTACTTATGAAGGGACTGTTCTTTACTTGTCAGGGGAGGAGGGTAAATAACAACGGTATTCGGTATTAGGCCAAGTGTTTAATTTTATTTGGCTTCAGCTTCGGCCACAAATTTTCATTTCGGTGCATCCCTAATAAAAATTACCTTAAATAGGTAGTAATAGTATTAAATTTAAGTGTCTGATACCTGTAAACCCCCTGGTTACGAGCCCCCCCCCCCCCAATAAACACTGATCTGTGTGTGTGTGTGTGTGATTGTCTCAGGGCTCCTCAGCAGATCGCAGCCAGTGGAGAGAACCCACACGGACCTCTGATGGCTTGTGCTCATTGTACGAGGCAGCACTCTGTCTTTTTGAAGAGGTAAGAAATCTTTACAGTACTTTACTTTCAGCACATTGTATCAGTGTACTGATACTCAAAAATGTGTTGTGCTTATTTTTTCTTTACGTTAAAGGAAAAGGAGTACTTGTAATTTAAACAAGGTTCACAGTATTTTTAGTGGAAAAAATCAGACACAAGTAATCATTATCATTTAATGATTATTATGTTCTTTAATTGTGCGTTTCTTCCAGGTATGTCGTATGGCATCAGACTACTCTCGCACCTGTGTCAGCCCGGACAGCATACAGACCGGCGAGGCCCCCGTGGTGTCTGAAAGCTGAGAGGTGTATGTGTGGGGCAGTAACAGCAGCCACCAGCTCGTGGAGGGTACGCAGGAGAAGATCCTGCAGCCCAAGTTGGCCGCCAGCTTCGCCGATGCACAGACAGTAAGAGACATGAGTTCATGTGTTTCCTGTAGAGCTGTACGTCTGCACATGTTGAGAGAGGAAACATCTGTTATCCTGTAATCATCAGGCGAAGTGGACAGACTGTTTCTAAAGGAATTCTCCTGGTCTTGGCCAATGGGTTGTTGATATTTAAAGGCAGTTAAAGCATTAATTATAGTGAGTAGCATAAAAGAAATAGGCGTTACATAGACATGGTGACATAATGCGTTCAAATTCAGATTTCACTGGTTCTCCCACAGGGAAACCGCAGCTGTAGATCAAAGTAATGTGACATACCGTATATGTTAGATAGATAGATAGATGGCCTGAGAGACTTGTGCTCTTCAAGATGGCGGAGCAGTGCAGCATATAGACATGTTTCCATAAACGTCTTTTTATCATTAGAAAAGCTGTAATGAAACTGCAAAATTCAATAAAACTTCCTCAATTGTGCAAAAAACTTTTAATTCAACTCACATGACTAATCAGCTGTTTCCGCTGTCGGTGTCTTCCTGGATATTTCATAATGACAGAGTATGTCTTCGTTTCCGGATACACCATGAAACATGGCCAACATGACTGAGACTGGAAAGAGCAACTGAAACAAATTCCTGAGAACGTCTTTACGTTTTTCTGCCATTTTTCATTAAATGCCAACGGAAGAAGAAAAATGCCTTCTGGCATGGAACAACAACATGTTAAAGTTGGCGGCAGGCACAGCTGCGGCGCTAGCTCCACCTCGCCTAGCCTTGCTTCACCCTGCCCTGCCTTGCTTCACCCTGCCCTGCCTTGCTTCACCTTGCCCTGCCTTGCTTCACCTTGCCCTGCCTTGCTTCACCCTGCCCTGCCTTGCTTCACCCTGCCCTGCCTTGCTTCACCCTGCCCTGCCTTGCTCCACCTTGCCCTGCCTTGCTTCACTCTGCCCTGCCTTGCTTCACCCTGCCCTGCCTTGCTCCACCTTGCCCTGCCTTGCTTCACCCTGCCCTGCCTTGCTCCACCTTGCCCTGCCTTGCTTCGCCTTGCCTCATCTCGCCCCATTGAAAAGAAGAGCGTTAATTTGTGAGGCCAGTGTATTTTTTTTTAGTTATTTCCAATAGGAGCGCTGTGTATTTACATTCTGCTACAAAAACCAGCACGTGACGAGGCACTGAGCGTCTGTTCTGCCCCGAGCGCTGCATATTTGGTGTTTTTTCTCACTGAGAGTTGAAAAATTTTCAATTTTGGGAGACACGCTGTCCAAGTCACTGTTGCTTTTTACCCAGCTGTCCAACCACAGTGGAGGAGGGGCAGGACAAATAACCTGCAACAAAGACCAACCGTCACATCTTACATGACGGAGCAGAAATGTGTTAATGTACTGTAGCATGTATGTCAAAATCTCATGAAGCCAAGTAGAGCAGTTCTTTGTGTTTGAGTCGGATCACCAGGGATTAATAATGACATTTAAATTTAATTGAAATGTTTTTTGATAAAGGAGTGTGTGTTAAAGTACATGGGATTTATTTTATTTTTGTTATTTTACCACGGTATTTATTCAGATATTGAGAATCGGTATTAACTGCTTAAACATCTGGTATCGTAACATGCCGAACTTCTTATGATGTCCTATAGCATCACTGCTCAGTATTTTGCAGTGCCCACAGTCACACATCATCTCCTGTTTCTCTGCAGATTGAGGCGGGTCAGTACTGCACTTTCGTCATCTCCTCTGACGGCTCTGTTCGGGCCTGCGGGAAGGGCAGCTATGGCCGCCTGGGCCTCGGGGACTCCAACAACCAATCAACGCTCAAGAAGCTGACCTTTGAACCTCACCGTGCCATCAAGAAGGTGTCGTCATCCAAGGGCTCAGATGGCCACACGCTGGCCTTCACCACGGAGGGCGAGGTGTTCAGCTGGGGTGATGGTGATTACGGCAAACTGGGTCACGGGAACAGCTCAACACAGAAATACCCCAAACTGATCCAGGGGCCGCTGCAGGGGAAGGTAGGGCTTCACCCAATACAACCGGATACAACCTGGGATTTATTTTAGTTTCAAGATGCACATTTAGATTTGTGTTCTTTTATATCCAGTAATAAATTCAGTGCAGCAGTGAGCAGAGCTCTTCTGTGCCCCAACTTCCTTTGGTAAAACATTCTCGCACCAGGAACTGTGATGGAGTGTAATATAGCTGTTCTCCTGTGTCTCATATTTTAAAAACAGACAATAGAGTTCAATAGTTGTCTTTTAGTTTGTGCATTCAGCGTCATTAATGAAGTATGAAAATGTGTTTGTCGTTTGTTCTGTGTCAGGTGGTGGTGTGTGTGTCTGCTGGATACAGACACAGTGCTGCAGTCAGTGAGGATGGAGAGCTGTACACATGGGGTGAAGGAGATTTTGGGCGATTAGGTAAGTTGCTGATGTAATTATCTTCTACCCTAAACTGAAAAGGATCTCTTAATGAACACCTGCACTTTAGATAGACCCGAGCATGACTGTGCTGATCATCTGTTTGGGCCTTCAAAGTTTCCATAGAATAATGATCACTCCACAAAGAGAAGTGTTAACAGATTAAAAAGTTTAATCTGATGAGTAATCGTGTAGTGTGTTTCACATTTCAGTGTAATGTACCGCTTCACAGAACCATCAAGGATTAATTTTTAAACCTGATTAAGTCATACTTGAACTTTAAATCATGTTCCACCAAACTTTAAAACTATCTAAGATTAAATTTAAACATCACTTTAAATATCAGTTGAGTTTTTACTCTGCACCTACATTAAATTTATTTCTGTTGCACCAAAGCATTAAACTCCATTTTAAACTGCAGTCCTGTATTAACTTAAAACTTAAACTTAAAGGGAGATTTAACTTTTTAAGTGGCTGTCTTTCTGAGATGGATTGAGCAAATTAACCAAGTTCCTTTCAGAGAGTTGAGACAGACTCAACCCAGCTGAGTTTCTGATGCTGCTGAATTTCTTGAAACTGTCTCCCTGTTGCTGCCAGTCTCTCTTTTTTTCCTGTGCTGTTGCCCCTTTTTATTATCACAAGGCCATATTGCTTGTACAGCCACACAGCTAGCTAGCAAACAATATCATGGTTTGTTAAGGAATACAGAGCAGCTGAAAGTTAACAGTACCTAAACTCTGATCAGAACTAATCTTAGATTAAAAAAGTCTTTGATACAGTTTGTTTTTAGTTTCTGATAACTTTCAGTCAGTTGTGTGTTAGTTTGGAAGTTGACTGGTTTTGATTCAGCTTTGTTATTTTACAGCATGTGTCACCTTCAGATCCTGAGTCATAGCTGGGACAGCTTTCACTTTAAAAACAGTGTCTCTTGGCCGGCCTTTTGAATTTGGAGTTGAGACATGATCTTCTCTGAAACTGTGGCTTTTTACACTTCAAATCAAAACAAGTGGTGTGAAGTTCACTCATGCTGGAAACTACAAACACAGCTAATCAGCCTGATTACCTTCTACACATGTAAAACAACACATTCTCTCACACACAGTACGATTAGGATATTCTTTATGTGATTGAGAAACACTTCAGTGTTCATTTTGTCTGTGCTGCAGGCTATAAATGTTCTTTGTGACTGTGATGGGTCTGATAGCAGAGGAGCTCTTGCACAGTTGAACAGATTGTGCTTCAGCATGAATACTGCCTGTTGACTCCTCCAGCTTTGTCAAACTCATCACACTGTTCAAAGCTGATTTAGTATCAAAAGATAGATATATTGCCAAGACAGTTTTATATGTGTAGTTAGAAGTAACAAATTAGCCTCAGACAGATTTAGTCGATTAGGTCAGCACAGCACACACACAGACACACACACAAAAATCATGTTGCATTTATTCTGACAGATATAGTGGTCGCAATATGAGTCATGATTTTAATGGGAATGGTAATTTTTGCTTTTAACTTTAACAGGAAAAAAATTAGGATGATCATGACAGAAAAAAAGTACCTTCTCACTTTGCCTACAAGTAAATAAATTAACAAAACTATGGTAAAAAGTGGATCCCATATGTATGACAGTCACGGCCACATGAAATGAATCGATCCCTGAAAGGACACCTGGCCTCCCAACCAGCTTAAAAATAATGTAGTGGAATGTCTCCCAATTTGTTAATGCATCCGCTTGTTACACATCCCTTCTTTACAATGTAAAATAGTTGAAGAAAACTTAATAGGATCCACACTGTTTAAAAAGCACATTGTTGTTCATCATCCGAGGAAATGTTTGTAGAGAAGCAGCAACTTTATCACACTCTGCTCCTTATGGTTGATCATTTCTGTGTGTTAACAGCCTGACCTTTTTCATTGTTTGGTATCGCAGGTCACGGTGACAGCAACAGCCGAAACATTCCTACCCTGGTTAAAGACATCAGCAACGTGGGAGAGGTGTCATGTGGTAGCTCCCATACCATCGCACTGTCAAAGGATGGACGCACTGTATGGTCCTTTGGAGGAGGGGACAACGGTGAGGAGATACTTCACCATGACCTGACCTTCACCTGTGTTGTTAAACATCTGTCTTGAATATTTTATTGTGGAAATAATTAGTAAATAGAAACACAAGTCTTTTAAACTGCATTTTGAATCTGACCCTTTTTCAGAGTGTGCACCCTTCTAGTGTGTGTGGTAAATACTTGCAGTTTTGTATTTAGTCTAAATTTAAACTATATTTGAGAATGTATAAAATATTTTTTTCTTGTGTTTAATTGTATTTGGTTTCCAGAATGTCAAATCATTGCACATCATTAGAATATAAGCTCATAGAGTCTAAAGAGAAACCATGTGTTGTCCTCCAGGGAAACTAGGTCATGGTGATACTAATCGAGTCTACAAGCCAAAAGTAGTGGAGGCCCTGCAAGGGATGTTCATCAGGAAAGTGTGTGCAGGAAGCCAGTCGTCTCTCGCCTTAACCTCCACCGGACAGGTAGGACATCACCCCGGCGTCGTTCACCAAGACAGAATAAAAGCTGTGGTTTGTTGAGGAAAAGTGGAGGCTTGAGGTTCTGGAATATTTGGTCCAGAGAGGGAATTTCATACAGATGTTTATGCATTCCTGGTTGGCAACTGGTTGGATTTTGACAGAGATATATTTTGAGTTTAGGACTTGTTAAGTAACACAGCTCTTCTTTTGTGGCTTTGCTCCTCACTGTTTTCTCTTCAAGACATTTTTTTGTCAAGGCAAAGGACCAAAGTAAAATTCTTTGCCACGTTAATGTCAGAAGTCATCTGCTGATGTTGATTCATGTCTCTTGTCTTTAGGTGTATGCATGGGGCTGTGGTGCTTGCCTGGGATGTGGGTCCTCTGAGGCCACAGCGCTCAGACCCAAACTCATTGAGGAGCTGGCTACCACCAGGGTGGTGGACATCTCCATAGGGGATAGTCACTGCCTGGCTCTGTCACATGGTGGGCATCTCCTCCTCCTTCGTGTTCTTGCCTTCTCCTGACCTGTCTTTGAAAAGCTTATCTGTAAATAGTTGACTGTAAACAGCTGCTGCTGCAGAGACGGAAACACATTTGTATGCTGTCAGGGATCAGCGCTCAGCGTCCGCGGCCTCTGTCACTCAGTCTGACTGTTATTTTGCTGGCACAATAAGATTTGGTGTTTGTTTAACATGTGACAGAAACTGTTGCAAGTAGCATGATGTAACAGCAAATATATGGAGCATATTTGTTTTAGCTAATACTTAACTTCAGCTCCATGTTAAATTAGGACAGAGTCTGCCTCATTATTATTCAGCGTGATGTGTGGTGTGAAAAATAATCAAAGCCACATCTAATCTTGTTTTACTTTTCTTATACTCAACCATCATCTAGACAATGAAGTGTACGCATGGGGCAACAACTCCATGGGCCAGTGTGGTCAGGGGAACTCCACAGGGCCGATCACGAAGCCCAAGAAGGTCGTCGGGCTGGACGGAGTCGCTATTCAGCAGATCTCAGCCGGCACGTCCCACAGCCTGGCATGGACCGCTCTGCCCAGAGACAGGTCAGCCACCATCAGAGTGAACACACTGACTGTAGCGAAGGCAGCATGTTCATAACCTGGGGAGGGGGAGGGGGCTGCTAATGTCACAACACCCCTGGACTTCTGTTCCTCATAGGGATTACATAATATAGGTGAAAGGTCAGTCACTGTGCGGTGCACAGCAGTTTTTAACTGTCGTTGTTAAAAGGTAACTCAGTAAGACATCATGCTGTCTGTGTACTGACTCGTCATACAGACACACTGTGCTATTTTGGTTCAGAGAAAAGGTGACGACAGGTGAAGTATTAATACGCCCAGTTATTCTCATACGGTCAGACTCAGATCAACCAGGCAGCTTTTTATGCCTTCGCCCCTGCGATAGCTGCGGACGGAGGCATTATGTTTCTTGCTAATGAACGTGATATCTCAAGAACACCTTCTTCAAATTTGGCACAAATGTCCACATGAACTCAACAATGAGCCCTTACTTTTTGATGGTCAAAGGTCAAGGTCACTGTGACCTCGTCTGTCTCATTCTCGTGAATGCAATATCTCAAGAACACCGTGAGATAATTTCTTCAAACTTGGCATAAATATAAACTTGAACTTAATGATGAATTGATTACGTTTTGATGGCCAAATGTCAAAGATCAAGGTTGCTGTGACCTTGCGTCCATCTCATTCTCCTGAATGCAATATCTAGTTTGACACTAACGTCCACTTGGACTCCACAATTAACTGATTAGCTTGCGATGGTCATATTTCAAAGAACATGTCTATGTGACGTCACCTGTCTCATTCTTGTGAACGCAATATCTCAAGAACACCTCAATGGAATTTCTTCAAATTTGGCACAAGGGTTCACTTGGACTCAACGAAAAACTGATTGGATTTCGGTGTCAAAGGTTAAGGTCACTGTAACCTTGCATCGGTCTTATTCTCACAAACATGATATCTCAAGAACACCATGAGGGAATTTCTTTCAGAAAATTTGAAAAAAAAATTCACACAAACCTCCAGTTGGACTGAAGAATAAACTGATTATAATGTTTTGGTTGAAGATCAAAGGTCAAGGTCACTGTGACCTCATCTGTCTCATTCTTGTAAATGTGGTATCTCAAGAATACCTTGAAGCCTTTTTTAACTTTGGCACAAACATTCACTTGGATTTGATTAACTGATTTGATTTTGGTGGTCAAAGGTCAAAGTCACTGTGACATGTCTGTCTCAATTTTATAATATATATCTCAAGAACACCTTGAGGGAATTTCTTTAAATTTGACACAAATGTCCACTTGGACTGAAGAATAAACTGATTAGAATTTTGTGGTTGAAGGCCAAAGATCAGTGTGAACTAAAAAAACATGTTTTTGGACATAACTCAAGAATTCAAACACTAATTATGACAAAACTTCACACACGTCTAACAGGATAAATTAATGAAGTGATGACATTTTATATCCAAAAGGTCAAAGGTCAGCTTCACTGTGACATTATGGTCTGCATAAAACTCTTTCCTGTCCATTTCTCTAGCGAGAGAGAATTATTTCCTCTCACGCAGGCGCAGAACATACGTGTTGGTTTGCTGATGGCTGTAGTTTTTGCGGTGTGTTCATGTGCAACTTTTTGGCTGAGACAGAAGCAGGGAACCTTCATCACTGCTAGTTCGCTGGAGTTGGTTTGGTGTGTTGGGGCTGTAAGACTAAAACAATTAATAGAAAATCTGTGTTACAAACTGGAGGTGTGGGGTTTGAAAAAAATAACCATTTCAAAGGAAAAGACTTCTGAGTTGCATTATGGGAATTGTAGGATCCAGCATTTTTGAGCTTGATACTACGGACTCATGTCAGGATATCTCGGCTCAGCTGCTCTGATTCTTTATAAAATTTATCCTTTGTGAGTCTCCTAACTTTGTGACAGTGCTGTATTAAATCTCTGGGAGATTGTTTTATCGGCCAACTGATGAGTTTATTGGTACAGTCCATGGCAGAGGGGAAGAGATCGTTCTTTATTCCCATGATGGTGTGAAGGTACATTCACTTCAAGCGAATAATCCCATTTATTAGAAACTGTAAATGCTTCAATGCACAAGTGAACTGTTTTATAAAGAAATTGATTTAGGCAAAAGCAGCAGTGTGACCCGTTCAGAGTTTTCTTCTAAAAAGGTTTTATGTCCAGTTCAGTCAGTGTTTTTTAGTCTCTTCCAACCTCTTTACCCTTCCACTCCAGCAGCTGTGAAGCACCAGAGCACTTGCTAATATTTACTCTCTTTGGCCCTCCAGGCAAGTGGTGGCTTGGCACCGGCCCTACTGTGTCGACCTCGAAGAAAGTACCTTCTCACACTTGCGCTCCTTCCTCGAGCGCTACTGTGACGGCATCAACAGTGAAGTTCCTCCTCTCCCGTTCCCCTCATCCAGGTAAACACACACAGCCTGCAGGCTGCCATCATTGCTTTTTCTCCTCACCTGTGGATTTCTGGCACTGACAGATGACTTGTTGTAACAGCTGATACGCCTTCTTTCCTTTTGATTGTAGATTGGTGTCAGATTATAAATATGCCCTTGGTATATGCTGATTGTTACAACTGTGTTTGCAGGGAGCATCATAACTTCCTAAAGCTGTGCCTTCGGCTCTTGTCCAATCATCTGGCTCTGGCCCTTGCTGGGGGCGTGGCCACCAGTATCTTAGGTCGGCAGGCCAGGCCCCTGAGGAACCTGCTGTTCAGACTGATGGACTCCTCTGTGCCAGATGAGATTCAGGAGGTGAGACAAAAGCTGTCAGCAGCAAAGTAATAGCTTCTAAAGCAGCTCTTAACCCCAGGCTAACAAAGTCTTCACTGTGGAACAATCCTGACATGTTCTGAGTAGACTAACCCAGACTTTAGCCCAGGCCTCGCTGACCCTGCTTCAGAGCAGCCTTAGCCTGAGACTAAAAGTTGACAGTATGAAACAGGGCTAAGTAAACAATAGAGGCTTGACAATCCATCAGTCTGGATCAATATAACAATTCAGTGATCAACAATCCAGTATCGTGGATGCAAAGCGAAAATATTGATTCATATCATCATCTTTAGATTACCCCTTTATTTTGAAATTCTTTGTCACAGTCAAACAGAAGCAGGCAGTCGGCAAGTAGCCTAGACAAAGACGAAGAGAATAACGTTTTTTACTCAGGAATAAATCAGCATTGTAGAAATATTTTTGATTTTGAAGAAAATACAGGTCAACAGACAAAGTATATGCCATATGTAAACAATGCTATTATCAGATAAAACACAATCTGGAAATCCATCGGTAAAAAAAAGAAAAAAAAAAAAAATTCTTCCTTTACCTCTGGAGGCACAGCCCGGAGTTTTTCGACTAACGGAAGTGCAGGGGCCTCAGCGATCGCTCACGCCCTTCACTTCCGGCGGTGCCCCCAGGGAATCACCGTGTTGTTTACAAAAACTTAGGGTAGAAAACCAGCAGAGTTTAGCTATATATCATATTTTTCACGTCACTATATCACTGTGTAGACTAATCTGATGTTTGTTAAGTCTATGAACACAATGATTGAAAAAATGTTACTATTTCTCTGTGTTTTGTAATTAACATGGTTATTGTAGATTAGCTGGGCTAACCATTAGCTGTTAACGTTAGCCGTTAGCGGTGGCTGTAATAACCATAGACTGTATAAAAATAAGGTAATAACTCAATAAACGGTCCATGAATAAAATATTTTTTCTAGCGGATATCTTAGTTACAACATGATTGAGCTAGCAAAGCAGTTTTGTGTTGCTATGTGTGGTATTTATTCAGTTATGGGAAATCACGATGTCTAGAAAGCATCAGTGGCTGCAGCTGACAGGGACAGTTAGCAAAGCTAACATCAGGACGTCATCTGTTAAAAGCCTCCCGTTGTCGGATACGACATGAAACTACTGCAGTTAGCTCAATCATGTTGTAACTAAGACATCCGCTGGAAAAAAAAAAAAATCACGTTGACGAGACGGCGTTTTGGGTGGAGCGGTCGCTATGGACGCGGAGCTTGCTGTTTCTGTAGGTGCACATTTCCTGGGGACACCTGCACATCTCGGCCACGCCCCCTCCATTGTGATTGGCTAAAGCGCAGCAATGTAAATGTAAATTGCAGAATCTGTCTAGAAAGATTAGATAAAACATGACATACCTGCCTGGCCAAGCGTCTTGCTCCACTAACTTCTTGTAGCAACATTAGCTGCTCTGTTTCAACAATATTGGGCTGAAAAAACATGCATGCAGGCTGAAATTTATCTTTGCTGTTCTGTCAGGAGACGCAGACTTAAACTAGCAGCAAGTAAGAAAAAGTATAAATAGTACATGTAATTTATTAAGCTGTAAGTAGAGGAAATCTCTGCTAGCCGCTAGGCTAATCTATGCAATGTAGACATGCTTAAGCTAATGAAGGGTGAGAGTTGTTTTGTCTGTGAACCTTGGCAATTATTACTGAGCTGAATCTTAAATATTTGTTAACTGATGTTGCTGTTAGTCCATGTTTTATGGCTGTTGGAAGTTTACAGTCAAGTTTTAGGAAAAAGATGATGGTTTGGGTTAAAGTGAAAAGATTTCTTTCAGAAAGGTCTCTCTGACAGAAAGGTCTCTCTGACAGAAAGCCCTGAAGGTTAACTGATCCATGTGCTGTTTAATGTGTTAGTGGAGTTAGTTTAAAGTCAACTTAACTGCTCTTATTATTTATGTGTTGTTTTTGTTTTTTATGGCCAAAAAACAAAAAAGAAAGCTGCTGCAGCTTCTTCTGTAACAGACTGTGTTAAATGATCAGATGATATCACCTCATATTGATCGCAGGCTCCTGAATCACATTGAATTGGAATCGGATGGTGGAAGACTTTGTGATTTCGTTATAATATCATATTGTGATGAAACTAGTGATTTACACTCCTGGTAAACAGTTGAATTTTTGAATGTTTAAATGAGTCACATAATAATATTTTTAATGTTGTATAATTGGTATTTTTGTATGTTTTTATTGTAAGGTGTCCTTGGGTGCTCAGAAAGGCGCCAACAAATAAAATTTATTATTATTATTATTATTATTATTATTATTATAATCCAACTGACATTTAACTAGAGTCAGTAGAGGTGCAGTGTGAATGTGTCGCCCTGGGCTCAGGTCGTCCCTGGTTAACAATGTGTGTGTGAAAAGGAGAGTCAGCCCAAGGTCAGGGTTAAGGATCGCCTGGGGCTAAAAGGGTGCAGATTAAAAAACCTGACAGACAGGAACGTACAATAAAATGTTTCAGTAAAACTGTGACACTGTGAAGAAACATTAAATGTTAAAGATTAATGTCGCTGGACTGACAATGTTATAAATGACAAGTTTAAGTTTTGAAATTGTAAACCTAAGATTCACTTTAAAAGATTCTTGGCTTCTGTTATTTTATGTTTAAACAGTTAAATATTCGGTCTAAAAAATATCGAAAATTAGTGAAAAATTTCCATCACATTTCGCTAAAGCCCAAAGTGACATCCTCAGATGTCTCATTCAAACAACAGTCCAAATCCCAGGTATTCAAAAAAAAAAAAGCATCAAATCATTACATTAAAAAATGTTTGGACCATCAGTGTTTCTTGTAGAAAGATATAAACAGTTAGTCCGTTATCGGTATAGTTGCAGGTTCATTTTTCATTGATCAACTAATTATTTCAGCTGTAAAATTAAGTTAAATTTGTTCCCCTTTTGTTTTCCAAAAGTAAAACTTATAATGAAGGAGAGTCATATTTATGAAATCCCTTCTTAAAACTTTATTTTACAGGAAAAGCATTTATGAATATTTAAAACGTTGCTGTGTTTTATCATCCATCTCTGGCCATTTTGTTTTCCTTTTTTTTTTTTTTTTTTTTTTTTTGTTATAAACGTTACTTTAACCCCTGGTGTTTTTTTTTTTATGCCTCCGCGCCAGCAATAGCCAAGGCTGGAGGCATTATGTATTCGGTTTGTCCCGTTCTCGTGAAGGCGGTATCTCAAGATTGCATTTGTTGTCAAAGGTCAGGGTCACTCTGACCTTGCGTCGGTCCCATTCTCGTGAACACAATATCTTAAGAAGGCCTTGATGGAATTTCTTGAAATTTGGCACAAACGTCCACATAGTTATTGTTTATGTTATGTTGATTTGAATGTTCCCTTTCCCTGTATGTATGTATTTTTTTGAGAAGCACTTTGTAGCCTTAAGAAAAGTGCTATACAAATAAATGTTATAGTGTCGGATGTTCAACTGGTAAAGCAAGTTCAGCTTATTGTTCATGTCTCTGTATTTTAACAGAGTCAAACTCAGCTCTTTGTTTCCTAAAAATCCTGAGTTATTTTCCTTGAAATATCTGTTTAATAAATAATTAAATTTTTACTGTGAAGCGTAACTCCTTTGCTGTTCTGTTTGTAGAAACACGTCTTGTAATCAGTGCGGAGTTGAAATGATTTATTTGTGCTTTTTATTCTATGTTGCCTTGAAAAACATTGTGTTCATGGTCTTCTTGTTTTACTATCATCAGGGACATTGAGACAGTAATTTCTCACAATGTCTACAAGTTCTGAATTTGTTGCATCACCTGAAGCAGTGATGATGTCTGTGTGTGTATTTGTGTGTGTGTTTGTCCCATCAGGCAGTGATTGACACTCTGTCTGTGGGGGCGACCATGTTGCTGCCTCCGCTGAGAGAGAGGATGGAGCTCCTCCACTCGTTGCTGCCTCAGGGCCCTGACAGATGGGAGAGTCTCTCCAAAGGACAGGTACCCTCTGCCTCCTAACACACACATACACACATACAGCTGCCCTACTGCTTTCAGAAATGTGGCTGTAAAATCAACAGTTTTTAGCTTTTTTGGTTAATTTACCTGTAACAATGAACCTCTGATAAACAGGACCCAATGTCAGCTGATGCGGGACGGTGAACAGTTCAGTTTAAGTGTGGTTTCCTATTTCAGGATGTGATTTTGTGATAATAGGTGGAGACAGACGCTGAGAACTGAGCCTTTAATATAAGCACTGTTGTATACATGTGTATAGTAGGTGAAGCTTTTTTAGATCCCATTAATCTCAGCGGTACCCATTAAAATCACGTTACAGATATACATTAATGTACCCGAGTTTTGTGTAGGTCAGATGGATGATGAATGCAGCTTTTATGCTGTGAGCTTCTGGGTTAATGGGTCACTTTGTTTGGTTGGTCGGCTGTGTGGGTGGAGTAAAGCCTGTGGTCGATTCTTTGGAGTGGTCTCTTACAGCCACAAAGTTTTGACCCAGAAACCTCAAGAAGATCACGCTTCATCTTCAACAAGTCCATCTGTGTTTCCAAGTTTCATTCCTACTCAGCACTCCACCATCAAAATGTCATAACAATGATCCGCTCTGGGAACTGTTTGAAATGTTTATTTTTGTGGACTTCTAAAACCAACGTTGCAGAGAGATTAAGCTTCGGATTATTTTAATCAAACTCTAATTAATTGTTTGAGATTTTGGGAAATTAACTTATGCACTGTCTTCCTGGAGTTGGATTAGAAGAAAGATCAATACCGCTCTCATGCTTGTATGATAGAAATGAGGCTACAGCTAGCAGCCAGTTAGCTTAGCATAGCATAAAGACTGGAAGGACGGTAGATAGATAGTAGAATAGTAATAATAGAATATGAGTGAACAGATTAGCAGATGATTTGTGCTGAGCAAGATTTAACAGAAGTATTTAGCACTTGGACATCAGAGGGAGATATCAAGGGACATCTGAGCGGCAGCAAGATACATCCCCCCATCGAGTCCAGACACTGGTGATAGTGGTGACTCATGACTCTGAGGCTGCTGACTTCGAGGCTGATGGCTGCTGAGGATGATGAATCCGTGAAAACTGGGTGGTGATGGAGAGGTGAAGGGTGCACACAACTGCAGCAAGAGAGAAGTATGTCAGAGACAGAACCATATTTGAAATGAGGAGCAGTAAGATGATTGGCTGACAGAGAAAGTGTGTCGCTGTGCTATTTGTTGATTGTGAATCAGCTGAAGAACAGCTGATGAGGTGATTGACAGACACAGACAATGACACCTAGAGATAGAAAGTGAGCATGCGTGCAAATAGTGAATGTCAGGGTGAGAAAGAAACATACAGCCGGAGCATAACAAGTAGCGTCTTCCTGACTGAACTTTCACCAGAGCTTCAGAAGTTAAAGGGGTTTGAGTTGACTCCACACAGTTCTCAACATGGAGGTGGCTGAGTTGACAGCTAGCAGATAATGGTGCTAACTCCATAACAGTGCTGACAGAGTTAAAAGTGTTAACCAGGGGAAATCAGAGGATGGGCGCTACGCTTCAGTGACTCAGGGTTTGAAATTTTTTTCTTGTGAATATTTTATCATCTTGCCATAGCAACATTTAACCAGTCGTTTTAAAGCAAAGCAAAGTGATAGTTCCAACTACCAATGGTGTATCACATTACTCAAGGTAAACAAGGAGTTCTAGCCAATCAGAGGCAGAGTAGGGCGGGCCTTAAGTTTTCACAGTCTCTCATTCAGTCACGCCACGGACACACTGGACGCGGAACCGAAGCGCAGCGCCCAGCAGCGGAGGCAGTTTTCAATCAGCGCCCATGTTAACCTATCTGACTGTCCACACAGGCCGCTGAGCAGAGCGGAGCGCCCACGGAGGCTCGCACACTGCAGCGCTTCAGTTCGGCGTCTGGTCTATTTTTCACGTGAGCCGCGAGCGCTTCTGTCAAGCTGGATAGAGCGGATCTTACCAAACAGGAAGTTGGACACAGAAAAATCTGGCCAATTTTCAAAATAAAATAAATGTAAAAACTAAAAGCCTGTTTAATTATGATGTTGCTTGTGCGTCTATAAATATTTGTTCAGTTTGGTCTAGACATGAGAGAGATGAAAACACAGAGAGAGAGAGAGAGAGAGAGAGAGAGAGAGAAAAAGAGAGACTCCAGTGTATCTGTACACAGCAGAAAGTGGTTGCTGCTCTGAATGTCACAAAACCACAGGAAAGAGGCAGTACAGTTAGCGGCTGTAGCCTTATATTCAGTGCTCGGATAGAAGAGTGATATCTATGTTCTCATCTGAGTCATGCCAAGAAAGTGAATAAACATATTTCCATAATGTCAGACTTCTTAAACAGCATTAACTGCTTTTCATCTGTGAAACATTTCATGTGCAGAAATGTGGCGTTAACTCAACAAATAAAATCATCTGTAATTGCTTGTGTTTTATGAAATAAAGGAAAACAAGGTAAAGGCAGGAGTGTATTCATGAGTTGCTGTGATAACCTCAGCTGAGGACATCTTTTCTCACTGGTCAAACTTGTTCACTGTCCGAACGTTGGCCTTATTTTCCCAATTACTGAATTACAGATAAGCATCTGTTGACTGACCTGCTGCTGCCCTCAGTATGAACCTCGCAGTGAACAAGTTTGATATCATGTCCTGTTACTGTGCTGTGTTTGTTAAGGTCAGCAGTCTTATTGAAATCTGTGTGTTTGTGTTTATCAGAGGATGCAGCTGGACATCATCCTGACCAGTCTGCAGGACCACACCCACGTGGCCTCGCTCCTGGGTTACAGCTCTCCTGCTGACGGCCCCGAGGTTCTGACCTCCGGCCAGGGCTTCACAGCCTCGCCGGACCCCACGTACAGCGCCACAGCCGGCCACCCTGACACCCACCTGGCTGAGATCCTGATGAAGACGCTGCTCAGGAATCTGGGCTTTTATACTGTAAGTAGATGTTTGGTTGAGCTCCAACAGAGAGTGCAGAGTTTGCTCTTATTGATTTCAGTGTGTTTGTGTGTGTTGTGTGTGGGTGTGTGTTACTCCGTGACAAACCATTATTGGCGAGGTTATTATGATCTGTTCAGGACTGACAAAGGCAGACATTAGTCAGGAAGGAAGTCATCAGTGAAGTCAACTTAAAAAGCATCGTTGTTACACCCGAGCGTCTCTCCATCTCCCTCCCTGCTCTCAGTGTTGGAGGCAGAGCATGACTCATGTTTAATCCTTTGTTATTATCACCTGCTGCCTTTGTTCCTGGCACAGCAGCGGCTCGTTCCTGTGCCTCGTTCTCTAAAGACAGCTTTTTATTGATTGTACCACACACACACACATACACAGACACAGGCTGTATGCTCAAGTGTGTGTGATTATGCAGGCCTTAGCAATGAATGATGATTAGACTGCAGCCCTCTCTGCATTTGACTCACTCCTTTTGTGTTCATTGCCTCTCGCTGTATTTTTCCTTTTGCTCCTCTTACTCATTTTCTTCATCTGCAGAGCTCTGTCTTTTTGTTTTGGGAAAAAAACATCTTGATAAAGAAACATAATTCAACAAAAACCAGTAATGAAATTTGGGTCCTCTAAATTTAACCATACTGAGAATCCAGATCACAAAAGCAGTGGGTGGAACAAAGTAATGATTCTGTGTTACTCATAAGAAACAATGTCAGATTCACCCTCTGTAATTAGGACACGCTCGTCATGTGTGGGAGAACATGTTAACTCGTTTCAGGTGTGAAAAATAATCTAAAAAACATATTTAGATGGATGAACCAGCTTCAGGAGAAACAAAAACATTTGAATATCGTTTTGAAAAAATGTTGCTGAATCTGCCCATGAACGTGATTAGGTCTAAAGACCTTTACACACATTTTTTTTTTTCCTGTGAAAAATTTGCACATTAATACATTTCTTTTTTCTCTGTGCCGACCAAAGGCATCATGTCCTCAGACTGTCCGTCTGTCCCTCTCTTGTAAACATAATATCAAGAACACCTTGAGGGAAACTTCTTCAAATTTAGCACAAACATTCACTTAGACTTGAGGATGAACTGATCAGATTTTGGTGATCAAGGGTCGAAGGTCAAGGTCACCGTGGCCTTGCATCCATCTCATTCTCGTGAACGCAATTTCTTTCGAACAGCTTGAGAGAGTTTCTTCAAATTTGGCTCAGACATCCTCTTGGACTGAAGAATGAACTGATTAGAATTAGGTCGTCAAAGGTCAAGATCACTGTGACCTTGTCTGTCTCGTTTTTGTGAATGCGATATCTCAAAAACACCATGAGGGAATTCCTTCAAATTTGACACGAACATTCACTTGGACTCAACAATGAACTGATTGGATTTTATTGGTCAAAGGTCAAGGTCAGTGTGACCTCGTCTGTCTCATTCTTGCAAACATGATATCTCAAGGATACCTTGAGGGAATTTCTTTGAATTTGGCACAAACATTCACTTAGACTGAAGAATAAACTGATTCAAATTTGGTGGTCGAAGCTCAGAGGTCACTTTGACCTTACAAAAACGTGTTTTTGGCCATAACTTGAGAATTCATACACTAAATTCTGACAGGATTAAATAATGAAGTGATGACATTTTATATCCAAAAGACGGAGGTCAGCTTCACTGAACTGATTAGATTTTGGCATCCAAAGGTCAAGGTCACTATGACCTTGTCTGTCTCATTTTTGTGAATGCGATATCTCAGCATCACATTTGGCACATACGTCCACTTGGACTAAAGAATAAAGTGATCAGAATTTTGTGGTTGAAGGTCAAAGGTCAGTGTGACCTCACAAAAACAAGTTTTTGACCATAACTAAAGAATTCATTCACTAATTCTGATGAAACTTGACACAAATGTCTAATAGGATAAAATAATGAAGGTCAAAAGGTCAAAGGTCAGCTTGACTGCGACATCATCATGTTTTAACGTCATATCTCAGGAACAGAAGGGGAGACATTTGGTCAGATACTGAATTGGTGACTCTAATCTTGAAACTGTGCTGATTGTATAGATCTTCTGTGTGTGAAGCATCCATGTTTTCACTGACATGGATGGAGACTGTCAGAGACACTGGACAGGTGGGCGGAGTCATACAACCACAGGGTGGACTGGTGGACGGAGTCATACAACCACGGGGTGGTGATTCTAGTTTAACAAGTGTTGCAACTGCTGTTGGTATGAATTGTTTTGATGCAGAGTATTATGAGGTGTAATACACAAGTATTTTCATGTTGTTGATTTGTCATGTCCCTGGTGTGTAACGGCCTTAAGGCTGCTTTTAATCCTGAATCTATGTGATAGCTTTTTTGTATTTTTCATAACCGCTACAAATTGACAGCTGAAACCAAACTGTGGTCTGCTGAATATTTTCTGCTCGGAAAAAGACAGACCTTTCCTTCACACACTACAATACAGTTCAGTCCAGTTCAGTCTTGGAAGATCCCTGACATACCTGCGATATCTGTGAACTTGTAGTTTGTTATATCTGATTTTTTTGTGTGTTTGTGTTTGGCAGGATCAGGCATTCGGTGAGCTGGAGAAGAACAGCGATAAGCTGCAGCAGGGCACGTCCTCCTCTGACAGCAGCCAACCAGCTCACCTCCACCAACTGCTGTGTTCCTTACAGAAGCAACTGTTAGCTTACTGCCACATTAACTCTGTCACTGAGGTATGGACACTCTGCTGTGTTTGTTAATGCGCAGCCTGTTCAAACACTCACTCTCTCTTCCACAGATAACTGTTTTATTACGTGGAAATGGTGTTTACGCAACCAAAAAGTCATCATGTAGTTATTTAAACTTCTTGGTCCGGTGCCATCAGGGTCATGTGACTTATTGCAACACTGCTGAGATTACAACATGTTTGGACTTGAAAGGGACAAGCCCGTGATGTTTGAGTTATTTACTCTTTATTGCACATCTAATTTCAGAGCTCACATGATCTTATTCATGAAGTGTAAAATCATGTTAAATCTTGAAAGAAAACACATTTTTTTAACTGATGCATGAAGCAGAGGAACTCCTAGTTACATAGCTGTTTTGTTTTTGAGCTAAGTCTTGACAGAATGTCTTGATTAAATGTGATTTCAGTGGCTGTACATGTTTATAAATCACAGTCTCATAAGTATGTATTTTCTTTGAAGGACCAGATTTCAGTTGAAATATTTTGATCCTCATGTTTTTTTCTGTAGAACTCCAGCAGCGTGGCATTACTCCACAAGCACCTGCAGCTCCTGCTGCCTCACGCCACAGATATCTTCTCCCGCTCAGCTGCTCTGATAAAAGAGAGTTCTTGGAACGGCAACATACGAGAGAAGCTACAGGGTGAAGAGGATCACTTAATCTCTTTATTCCTCCTTGTCTATCACGTCGCTGCTGCTGTAGCGACTCTCTTAGCCCCTAATCACACAGAAAGGGCTTTGCAGGCTGCAAAAGGCGATGCGCACGGCACTGCCTTTTTTACATTACCTTTAGTAAAAAGACGCCCTGTGTGCCTTTTTATGCAACGTAACCACCCCATCACCTCCTCACCCTAACCTTCCCGTGTAATCAGTCTACAGTTTCTGTATCCTGCAGTGATCAGTGTGTAATTGCTGCCATGTTGAGGCAGAGGGTACTGTCTGTAGCTCTGGTTGAGGGTGAGAGGCTGTCAGCAGATAAACAGAGATCTGTGTGGGTACAAGAGACCCTAAAAAAGAGGCTGGATCATGGGGAGTACCACCAGTTGGTCCAGGAGCTTCTCCTCCATCATGGACGTTTACAGTACTGCACTTATCTGCTTCCACACCTGCTGTTTTCTATTGAGATGGTGCTAACTGTGGTTTGTAAAGTCGTATAGCTCTGGGTATCCAGCAACCACTACCACCAGTTTCTCCTCCATTTACCAACTGTAAACTTGTTGTCGTGACCACCACAGAAGGCCCGCCTCTCCAATCATCCCATTGGACAATGGGGAAAAAAAGCAGAGATGACATGAGGTGTCAGTTTTTTCAACTCGAGGAGTTCACAGTGCTCTGGCAAAAACGCCAGGCGCCTAGGGTGCAGAAACATGAGGCACATAGCAACGCAACAGCTAGCAAAAAGCTTCATTGTCATTAAAAACTATTAAAAGGAGTTTCCCTCCCATTAATAATAATCATAAAAAGCCGCCTCCAGCTGCTAGAACACTTTCTGTGTGATCGGGGCCTTGTCCTCCAGTGTTCACTTGGCCTTTTCATCATAAAATACTTTTTCTGTTTTTATGTTCATCTTTGGTAAAAGCTTCAGCTTAACTTTATTATTGGTTTTTCACAATCTGTCTCATGATACTAACTCAAAGACAGTGCAGGTTAAACTGCATCAAACAACACTTTAATGGGTTATATGCTGTGATATAAAACTACAGAATCATTTATTCACAGTAATAACAATATATTTTCTTTACTGTTTTACTAACTTTCAATAAACTGAAATAATTTCTCAGTCGTTTCTTTCGTCATCACAGTTGTTTTGAAACTGACAGTACTGACGTAACTCTGTCACCTCCAGATGTGATCTACGTGTCCGCAGCAGGCAGCATGCTTTGCCAGATAATCAACTCGTTGCTGCTGCTCCCGGTGTCGGTGGCGAGGCCTCTACTGAGCCACCTGCTGGACCTGCTGCCTCCTCTGGACCGCCTCAACAGGCTGCTCCCTGCTGCCTCCCCGCTGGAGGACCAGGAGCTGCAGTGGCCTCTGCACGGTGAGCACAAAACAAAGAAAGCATGTCATGCATTAAATCATCTAAACATGGACTGTGCAGTTTAGAGTATACTTAATACCTTTTTATATCACTACCTAACAGCATTCAGCCTGGTTCATGGCACTATCGCTATCAAAAACTCATTTACTAAACAATAATCATTGTTGCTGTTTGTGTTTTTTGTTGTTCATGAAAATAAGGTTGAATGTAGTTGTTTGGATTGGTTTAGTCTGTCTTTGTTCTTTACAAAATCCATTAAAGTTCTTTACCACACTGGTCTGTGGTAAACAAATTTAAGGATAACATTTGGATGTAATCTAAACTCTACACAGAGGCCAGGTCAGCTCTGAGTCCTCCGGTCCTAATTGTGACAAAACTTTAACAGTAGTGTATTTGTATCAAAGCTGAGTTGCTGTGTAGGTTGCTCTGCTTCTGATCAAATATTTAGCGTCTTATCTTTAGCATTTGACCTTTTGTTTGTGAGCTACAGCTGTGAATTAGGACTTTGTAACTGTTTAAAAGTTAGGGGTCACACTCTGAGGTTAGAAAATGTGTCCACCAAATGATATTTCTGTTCTGTCTTGAACCTTTTTAACCCTGAGAATGTAAACTTTTTGAAGACCTTCATGTTTCTGTGCAGTAGAAATCATGCTGTCCTTTTCCACGACACCTCTTTTAACTTTTCAGGTACCTCTGACTTCGCTGAGCCAGCCTCAGGTATGTCCCTGCCACAGCAGGCGCTCTCCTGGGTGTGGCTCGTGGATCTGGAGAGGACAGTCGCCCTGCTGGTGGGCCGCTGCCTCGGTGGGATGCTCCAGGGAGCTCCGACCTCACTGGAGGAGCAGGACACTGCTTACTGGCTCAAAACGCCACTCTTCAGCAACGGCTTGGAAATGGAGATCCCACAGCTCGGTAGGCAGAGGACAGATGTGATGACTGAGTTTAGGTGTTTGGTAAAAACAGAAGCAGTTGAGTGTAGTTTTCTCAGCTGTCTTAATTTAAATTCCAGCGGGATATTTTTAAGATGAATTTGTTTTTTCTTTTGTCCTTTCATTCCATTATTCATGTGATGTTTCCTCTGTGACTTGTTGAGATGATGAGAGTTTGTTCACTCGTGTCCTTCAGACACCTGCATCAGCTCATTACTGGAGGCGGCACTGTCTGGTAATGAAGAGCAGAAGCCCTTTGACTGCACGCTGCGTCCTGACTTGAGTGTCCTGGTGGATTTGGCTCTGTGTTCCTCTAAAGAACCTGCCAACAGCCTCTGGATCAACATGCAGGACTACGCCATGAGCAAAGGTCTACCTTCTGAGGAGCTGTATAATGAATTCTGCCTCTGTGCTCGAGACATTAGTTTATATAAGTAACTGACAGTGTGCCATGTCTTCTGTTGCAGACTGGGACAACGCGTCTCTCAGTAATGAGTCCCTGTTGGACACTGTTTCCAGGTTTGTGCTGGCAGCCTTATTGAAGCACACAGGGCTGTTGGGCCAAGCCTGTGGGGAGGGCAGGTACTGTAACATGATCTTTATGATAGGTCTCATTAAACGTCTCTGCACTGTCCTGTAGAACCATTTTAAATCCAACAAGACATGTCATAGGTATATTTTTATTTTCCCATCAGGTACCAACCATCAAAGTCCCTGGCGGAGGTCTATCGCAGTGTTTACAAGGTACGAAACCGCCTGCTGGCCTGTAAGAATATGGACTTCATCCAGACAAGATCCTCTTCACGTGAGAGGAGGGTGAGTAAACAGAAGTTGTGAATGGACACATGCACATGTTTGCATTCAGTAATTTACATTTGGTTGAAGCTGGGGAAGGCAGATATCTGGAAAAGGAGAAAAATCCCCCTCCACCTGCAGCTCTCCCCTCTCTGTCCTAAGCCCCTCCCATCAGACCAGCACAGGCATATGCACGCGCATACAGTATTCCAATGTGTCCCACACTCAACTCATTCACTCAGCTGCTCTTTGAGATAAGAAGTAGCTGCTAGCCCCCCTACAGTCTCTCCGCCTCGCTCTCTGCTGCAGTGTACTGCTACGCTAGGAGGAGAGCAGGTGGCAGCTCCGAACCTTCGGTAGGAGGCTGCAGCAGCTTGAATTCGTGGCCAGCTGCAGTGCTGGGTCCAACCTGTGTAACAGCAGCAACAGAAAGTTGCTGATCCAGGGAGAAGTCAGAGCTGTCGGGTCCCCCAGAGCTGGGGTTTGTGCTGACTGGTTTCAGGTTGCTGCAGACGCTGACTGGAGGTCAGCCTCTGGAGCTGCTGCCTACTCTCCTCTCAGTGAGGTGGTCTGTAGCGGTGGGGAGTGAGGTTGAGGGCACACTGTGACTCAAGGCTCTCGCTAACTTTAGCTACATAAACGTGAACTTCAAGCTACAGCCATGAACTTTTGGCGTCAGTTAGCAGAAGGCTAACTTATTAGCAACATTTTCTCTCCATCTCTAAAACACTTTGCTGATATTAACACATTTTATTTTGTTTATTGTCAGACTCTCTGTTTGTTGTCCTTTTTTGGGTTGATATTAGGGGTGTAAATCACCAGCTTCATCACGATAGGATATTATATCGATTTGTTTGGATGACGATACGATGTTTGTCAATATCACAAAGTCTGTCACGATACGATTTCGATTCGATTTGATTCAGGAGCCTGTGATCGATATGGCGCTATATCATACGCCCATCAAACACAATCATTTACATCAACTCACAAAAACAACTAGAAAATGATTTGACCATTTTATTTCTGAGCTCTTCCAGGTATCAGGCATTTAAATGAAAAACAGTATTCTTCTGTAACAAAAAAATAATAAAAATAGACCTGTTCACTAAAATGGTGACACAGACGTGCTATGTGAATTTCAAAATAAAGGCGTATCTTTAAGATGACGATATGGATCGATGTTTTCATTTTGCAGTGATGTAATTGGATCGTTAATCAATGGATCAATGTATCGTTACACCCCTAGTTGATATGCAGTGTAGGCAGTGTTTGCCAGTGCTGGATTAGCAACTTTCTCTGCAGGATTCTCCCCCATTGAATCAGACTTTCAGCATCTGAAGGGACGTGCACGCTTATCTGCACTTGTAGAACAGCCAGTAGGAACGCCCTCTCCCTGAAATGACCTGTGGTTAGCCAAAGTCTCCAGTCACGGGCCAGATTTTTTGGGTGTTTTTATGCCTTTATTGATGGACAGCCGTAGAGAGACAGGGAAGTTTTCAGAGAGAGGGGGATGACATGCAGCAAAGGGCCATGGGTTGGAATTGAACCTGGTCTACTGCAGAGGCCTCAGCCTATATTGGGCGCACACCCTACCAATTGAGCTAGAGGTCTGAAAACAGAACCAAGACGAGGTGCAGAAGTCTAGTTTTCTCTCAGTCCACTTGAATTACAAAATGCGTTATGGGAGTTTTGCCCAATGACGCCAAAATAAAACTGCCCACCCCAGCTTCAAGGAGTCTCTCAGACTCTGTGTTTTCCTTTTCTTATAGATGCTTCCTCTGTGAGTGGACGCTTTGCTCATTAAACAAACAGATTTTCAGATGCACTCATGGATGTCATTTGGTTTCACTTGATCAGATCTCAGACAATCAGGACTCTCTGGACATGGACCCTCAGGAGCACTCGTTCACACGCACCATCGACGAGGAGGCGGAGCTTGAAGAGAGAGCGGACCGTGAGAGGGAGGAGGGCCATCAGGAACAAGACGATGAAGAGGAGGACCGGGAACACGAAGTGATGACGGCTGGAAGTAAGTACACCTGCTTGGACTCGTATGTTTCTCTGCTTTCAGTGTGCTGATCATCAGAAACATTAGATTATAATTCAATAAATGTATTTCTCAGTTCATATCCTGCCTGCTCCCGTTTGATTCCAGCTCTGCTTCATGACGACAGTTATTAAACTGTGAAAATGCTAAACAGTTAGTTCTTGCTGAATTTGCTTGGCACTGTATCCTGATGAATGTTTGGTCCTGTTAGTTTAGTTTTCAGGTTTATCCCAGTTTCCAGTCAGATGTTGTTATTTAGACTCAGGGCTTTCTGGAGTTTGGTTATTTATTTAATAATACACAGTACGGATGCCACTGGGAGGAAACTTTTATGATGATGCTCAGTGCCTGCAGAGCACTGAATTCAGTTACTGCTAATTTAAACCAAGTCTTTCCTACTGCTGACATGACAACTTTCACATTAGTTGACAGTGGATCAGTGTGAAATATTGCAGGGAGCAATTGAACAGTCAGGAGCTGCCACAGTGTGCGCTGCAGGTGACAGGCTGCACACACCCAACTTCTTCCTAGAGATGTAACTAGCTCCTCTATTCTCATTAACTTAATCAGGTTCCCGATCCTGTTGCTTTTCGCTTTGACACCACCTCCAACGCCATCATTTTGTTGGTCAACTCTCCGTACTCTCATAGAGCGCTCCAGGATTGACGTTTTTCTGTAGGCTGATGCAGAAGTAAGCTTCCCTCTGGTTCCCTCGTCAAAAAGCCTTTGGGAACATTTATAGTACGTCCACGTTTTGTCCAGCAAGATAATTTTCACAAATCAAACCACTTTAGGATTTTTTAAGCCGAAATTCAGTCGCCAGAAATAAAAAGCGTTAGGCTATAAACAAACTACACTACGTCAGCGTGACTTAACGCTGCCACCCCAGTAAGGCTGTAGAGCCGTGTTCAGCATGAGGACGTTCTGTAGTTGCATTTAGCCTCTTGTTAGCAACCATCTTTTTTAAGACATGTAAACGCTTCAGAATTCACAGTGGGATATTTACTGACATATTTTATGTTATTGAGCAAAATGTTTAAGGACATGTTAACCACAGACATTATTACAGACATCTAACTAAAGACACATTGACTGAGAGTACAAAAAGGTTTTAGGACTCGTTCCTGCGGCACTGTACAACATGATCAGTGAAATCTGACTCCTGCTACTCTGTGCTGCGATTCTGCAGCTGCCTCTGTACAGAGAGACACTTTGAATTGTCCGACTAAGTGTTGATAAAAAAAATCAAAGGGCTGCAGGGGACTGTTGGCAAGTAATGTAATGGGTGTATGCCTGAACACTGTTAAACACTGGTACACGGGGTGTAAATCACCAGTTTTCATCACAATACAATATTGTATTAATTCTTTGGACAATGATGCAATATTTGCCGATATCACAAAGTCTGCCTCGATATGATTTCAACTCAGTGCAGTTCAGGGACTTGCCACCAATGTGAGTCAATATTTTATGTCCACTTGACATAATCTGTTACAGAAGAGGCTGCTCTACCTTTCTTATTTACTTTTGGCCATAAAACATAAAAACAACATATAAATAATGTAAATAATTGTAACTAAAATAGAAGCATAACCTTAAGATGATGATATGGAATGATGTTTTCACTTTGCATCGATGATTCTGGATCATTGGTTATTACATCTTTATATCGATCCAGATCGATGGATCCTTACACCCCTAGTTACACCGACTACCATGTCAAGCAAAATTTATGGTCAGTTTAGCTCTAAATTCAACAGTTATCCCAACTGTTTCTGATTTGCAGCGAGGTAAGAAATTTATATTCATCTCTCTCACTGTGAGTAGAAGTTTATTTTAAGGATTTGTGGGAAGCTGCTGCAGCCAAACAAATGTCAAGCAGCTCACCAGCCAGTTTAATGGAAAGAGACTTACTGTGGTTTCATACATGTAATGATTAACATGTATAATCTCCTGACGCACTGTAATGAGACGGCCGTCACACTGACGCACTGGTGGAACAGTAGATGTATTTAAATTAATTGTTAGCTTATGTACAAAGATCTGATTGTTCAATAAACAAAAAAACAGTTGAAACGTGTAAGTGCGCTTTTTGATGCGTTGCACTGGCCTGAGCTTTGGTTATGAACTTTGACCTCTGGGAAACCTTGGGTGTATTGTGTGGCTGCTGCTTTTCGTCTAACCCAGCATCTTGTGTATGTGTGTTTTATTGTGTGTATGTGCATCTTGCACCACACAGAAATCTTTCAATGTTTCCTCTCAGCGCGGGAGGTCGCTCGCAGTCGGGACAGAGAACGGGCCAGCAGCAGCACTGGACTGGGTTCCGGCTCTGTGTCCAGGAGTGGAGGAGGAGGAGGAGGAGGAGGAGGAGGAGAGGAGGACACCATTCTATCTCAGGAGGGGAGGAGGGGCAGTACGGGTCTCCCCGAGGGTCAGGACCTGTACACAGCCGCCTGTAATTCTGTGATCCACCGCTGCGCCCTGCTGCTGCTCGGGGTGAGCCCCGTGCTGGGTGAGCTGAGCAAGCAGAACCAGGAGGAGGGTCAGACGCAGTCGGCCACAGGAACACAGGAGTGTCTGAGCTTCATGACCAGGTCAGAACGCCACACACCGTCATACAGACAGAAAAATATCCCTCTACTGTAGATTGAGACAAACTGTGTGTGAGGCAAAGTATTAAGGAACAGTGTCACATTTTTAAAGAACACTGCCGTTCCCACATGAACACTGAAACAGGTCTTTGTCACTGTGATTGTTCCCCTTGTCCGAACTGGCCATTGAGAGATACTGGCTCCTACTAAAATGAATCCAAAGTAAAAGATCTGGGACATTTCTGCAGTTCCCCAACTGTGTTGTATGAAGTGTGAAGTAGCTACTGAAAAACTCAACATTTTGTTATTTTGGTGCTTCACAATAAAAGTCCCCCATCATTTTGTTATGTAAAAAACTTTTATTGTGAAGAAACCACAGGAAATGAAGTGTGTGTGAAATCAGAAACAGCCACAGTGAGATGATGATAAAGAGCTGCAGACAAACAGCTCACCTCCAACAGGTGAACTTCTGTGACCTGTCATGCTGTGGAGAAACATGCAGGGGGATGTACAGTGTTCAGCACTGTAACCCTACATAACCACCTTTTGCTAACGGCTGAATTTCCATTTGAAAAACATGGTAAAGAACACAGATGGGCCCGTCTTTTAAATGTATTCTTAAGTTCAGCTGAGGCTTAAGTGATGTGATCAGACTCAGATATATCATGGAGGTATTTTCCAGAGTCAGTCTCTTTAGTGTGGTGTGTTAGTGTTTCAGTGTTCCTCGCTGAGCTGTGTTGGAATAATAGAAACAAAGTGGGAACTTTTTTACTAAAAAGATTACAGCTTTGCAAGAATTAATTTGGCTAACTCAGACAGCTGAAGCTTCGTGTGAGCTCTTACTGACTGTGTGCATCTTTGTGCAGAACAAGGACTGAGGATTTGTCCTGTAACTCTAACACTAGAATCACTTTAGGAAGGAATGTCTTTGCAGCCAGGAGTGAGAGGAGGAATCATTACAGGAACCAAAATCTTCTAGTTGGGCATGAGTTTTATTTTAAGACAATTTTGAAACCTGTTCTTTAATATTTGAGCTTGAACACGATGTCAGAAAGACTAATGAACCAACAAGGTGTCGGCCAATGGGGAAGTTTAACATGACCTGTATCTTGGCCAGTTTTTTCTTGGAATGCAGGACTCACCAAAATAAGATTAAAATCTGCAAGTCTGTTTTTCTACCCACTGCCAAAAAAATGTGTATGTCCAGTCCATGAATCTGTGGTGTTGAAGAGGCTCATAGTTACATGAATTATCAGGCCACACACACCCTCAGGCCGCCATGTGAAGGTGTGTCTGGAATTTTCTGTCAGAATTTTGCTGATATCAGCGTTCACAGGTGATCTTAAAAGTTCTTCACCTACAGTTCACGTGTTGCAACAAGTTTCATCTGAGTGCTGATGTATAGTTTTATGGTACACATTCCACCTGGAGCACCTTGAACCTGAGCGTGTGTCCTTACAGATCTCCAGGGCGTGTGGCACACCTGTGCTTTTAAGGGTGTTACAGAATGTGTCACAGTGAACACTCTATAGCCTCGCCCTTTGTGTGTTAAGTGAGGACAGATTCGGTGGAGTGATGGGAACTGTTATGGATTTAGTTTTATGTCATGTGTGCAACAGTAACAGAGAAGCCGTCACTAGTGGTGAACTTCTCAGATCTTGGACTCCCTCCAAAAGTGCTCATTGAATATGTCTGAAAATAAAATCACACAAGTAAAAACAATGATTTAAGTCAAGGAGTGGTGGAAATAATTGATTCTTAGATGCATCATGATGCGGACGTAGATGATTCAGTATTGATTCACAGATGTCAATAATCGATTATCTAAATGTTTATTGAAAAAAACAACTTAAACCAAAATAACTCTGCTCAGTCTGTTGCACCTCAAACACCCAGCACCTGGTCCACTCAGCGTCTTAGCTTTTAACCCCGCTGAAGGTGTGCATAGTGCAGAAGTTGAAATACAGGGATTGAGAGCGTGCTGACTGCCATCTACTGTAGGTAATGCACCGACTATAGATCTGTAAATGTGTTTATACAGCACAAATATGGTTTTATACTCAATCTCAGTGAGTCTCACCTGGTTTAATAAAAACAAAATAGCACCATCTTCCACCTCTCTGCTCAAATCTTCCAAGCGAACACTTTCCTCACACTCCGTGCTACACTGTCAGTAATTGACGCGTGTGTGTGTGTGCGGGGTGGGGGGTGTACTCGTGTGACACAGTGTTCTGCACTGTAACCCTACATAACCACTTTTTGCTAACGGCTGAATTACCATTTGAAAAACATGGTGAAGAACGCAGATGGTCCCGCCCTTTAAATGTATTCTAAAGTTCAGCTGAGGCTAAGGTGATGTGATCAGACTCAGATATGTCATGGATGTATTAAGATATAACATATATATGTAACATACATAAAATATGACGAAGGGATAATGCCTGCGAGGACGTTTTGGACAACAGGGATGCCAGAATTGTCTAATGCGTTGACACATTATCCCGCTTATACCATGGGCACTTTCCAAAGAGAGAAAAATTCAGAATATTTATTTATATTTTCATGTGTTTTGCAATTATAATTTTACATTTTTTTTTTCCAAGACATAACTCAGTTTGTCTGGTAATCAGCATAAGTTGATTACCAAGTATGTTTTCCATTCAAGGAATTTGCTTTGGTTTTTGGTCATACATTAAACATACAATAATCATATTAAGAGGAATAAAAATAAGGCAAATTACTGCAACACTCAATATATTAATATAGAATAGAAAAGTTTCAATAAAAATAAAAGTCAATAAAAATATGACAAAGATAGTTTTTTGTACTATAACATAACAAATCCGTACAACATAAATGTTTCTGAATAACAGAGCCGAAATATTAGTCAGGAGGCAGAGGTACACCTTGGTAAAATCATGACCATCCCATAATGTTCTTGTGCTTTGGAAAGGTTGTAGTAACTGTTTATGGGTAATGAGAAGTATATAGAGATGTATGTACATATGTAGAGATGTGAACAGGTTGTAAACAGTGAGTAAAAGTATATAAAGGTAAGGTGTAGTTCAGTTATATTAGCAACTGATTCATCGTCTTTTTCACGCCAGTGCAACAGTTACAGTGACGTGTTTGTGTTTTCAGGAGCGAGAGTCTGAGTGCAGAGAGCCGCTCGGTGCAGAGCAGCCCCAGTTACAGACTGATGAAGTCCAGGAGCGAGTCTGACCTCTCCCAGCCCGAGTCAGACGAAGAGGGTTACACTCTGGTAGAGCACACACTCTCTCACACACACACATTTACTTGTAGTATTTTTGTGTTGATGATCTTCTGCGTTTTTATCACAGTTCAGTGGTGCTGTGCAGTGACATCAGTCTCTGTTTTGTCTTTCAGAGTGGGAGGAGAAATGTCGACCTGGACTTGGCGTTCTCTCACAAAAAGAGAGGTAAAACCCGTCTGCTGAGCGCTCTGTGTAATGCTGCGTGTGACGGTGATTCAGGTCATCAATCATGTGTTACTCTTGTCTCTCTGTCTCTCGGTTCCTGTGTGGATAGTTTATTTGCTTCTTTTGGGGCAGTTGAGCCCCAAACACAAGAGGAGCTCCAAGCAAGTAAACGATGGCATGTTTCTTCCTCTCGTTAGCTCACACCTCCATAACTGTGATGAACTCCATTCATCTCTCATGATGAGGGCTTTGTTCTGAGCTGCACTTCAAGACACTTCATATTCTACTCTCTGTGCTGAGGCATAGACTGCAAACAGAAATACAGACCATACAGATGTGCCTGTTGTACAAATAACAGTTCATTCCTCTGCTTTGAATGTTCGGCTACATCCACACTGATATTCTTACATTTTGGGGGCGGCTTTGGCTCAGAGGTAGAGCGGCTCGTCCACTAATGAGTAGATCGGTGGGGAAGTATCCTTGGGCAAGCTACTGAACTCCAAATTACTCCTCCTGATGGATGTCCCATCTGTATGCAAGTGTTTTTAAGATGAGTAGCAGGTGGCATCTTGTATGGTAGTGTCGGCCACCAGTGAGTGAACGTGACATATTAAAGCGCTTTGAGTGATTAGAAGACTAGAAAGGCGCTATACAACTGCAGGTCCATTTTAAAGTCCATTACGTTTGCTACGTTTCCACCTCACATCCACACTATGGCGTTTTGGAACCCCGAAACGGAGACCTTTGAAAATGCTCCTGACCCCGTTTTAGTTTGAAAATCTGAATCATGTTCATGTTAGTGCAGAGCTGTCAGAGCTTTACATCTGTCCCACAGACAACAGGCCGACACACACAAACAGCGCCTAGAAGCAGATCAGCTCTGCACTCAGGATTTCAGGTAGTTAGACTATGATACGGTGCTTGTTAAGGTTGCTTAGCAACCTCAGATGCAACCTGCTGCTGCGCAGAAAAGGCACAAGAGTAGCATCCAGCGCCTGACCTCACATTTTCCAGGTGGTAAAAGATGTGCATGTGTGCAGGCTCTTACACTCATATGTTACTTTCAGTTACAGTTGGCCCAAGCAAAGGAATCTCTGGTCTTACTTTTCGCCAGCTCTTACTATTAAACAGTTTCCTTCCTGTTTACACCGGCACAGGAATGCCCATGCAAGTTAGTAGAGATAGAGATGATAAAAACTGTGCGAGACGCTCGTGTGTACAGTGGTTGATTTCATGTTAAAACACTGTTTGAAATGAACCGTATCAGTGTGGATGAAGCTTTTGTTACTTTGCACAATGAAGGCTCATTCTCAGTGCAGAATGTGAATTGTCAGAGTGTTCATGGAGTTACCAGTCACACTTATAAAGAAATCATCAGCACTGATACACCAGTGCTGTCAGTTGTTTTATGGAAACACGAGCTCTGGTCACCATTTCACTTCTCAGCTGCAGCATTTCTTCCTCAGTGGGTATTGGAAACTCAGCGCGCCCATTATAGATGAATCCATAATGGCTGATGAAGGCTTGTGCCCGCATGAAGAGTCAGCATTTGGCCATTTGATGAACTTTTATAGAGTAATAATGCATCGCACTGCATAGCTCCTAAGTGCTTAAAAGCAACATGGCCCATCCATCAGAACAGTTGTCTTGTGCATTTATGCATCTGAAAGGCTTCTCTGCTCTCCTCCTCTCTTCAGGCTTCCTTCACAGCTCTCCAGACTCCCTGGCCGAGTCCTGGTTCAGGGCCAAATTGAGCCGCCAGCGGAGCTACAGCTCGGCACACTCCTATGAAGAGTCAGACCTGGACCTGAGCCGCTCACTGGGCATCCATGCTCTCATTGATAACATGGTCAGCTTCATCAGTGGAGATGTGGGCCTGGCTCCAGCCTTCAAGGAGCCAGAGGAGAGTATGTCCACCAGCCCACAGGCAACGATCCTGGCCATGGAGCAGCAACAGAGCCGGGCAGAGGTGAGGGGGTCTCTCTTTGACTCTGAGGGAGACACAGGTCACTTTCTTTTGTGTAATAAAACATGGTATTAAAATGTATTTCGACAACAGACACCAGAGGTGTACATCACTAGTTTCGTCATGATACAATATCATATCAATTCTTTGGACAATGTTTCGATGTTTGCTGTTATCACAAAGTCTGCCATGATATGATTTTGATCTGATCCAGTGTGATTCAGGGGCCTGCGGTCGATGTTAGTCAATATAATTTGTCCATTTGACACGGTTTGTTACAGAAGAAGTTGTCATCCCTTCTTTTTTGCTTTTAGCCATAAAGATAACAACAACACACGAGTAACTGTAAAAACTGTAACTGGTTAAATGCAGTTAAGTCTAACTAACACACATAAAACAGCAGCTGTGAACCTTTCTGGAATAAATGTTTCATTTGAACCCAAACCATAATCTTTGTCCTAAAACATCAGGTCTATCTGGCTTAAAGCCCTGAAGGCAAACTTCTACCAACAGCCATAAAACATGGGTTTACATCATCATTTAATAAAAGTATAATTACATAACAGATAAAGCACGGGAGGGGAATCCATTTATTGAGCCAATTATGTGCGACTCCTCTACGATAGGTGGAGATATAAATAAACTACAGTGTGTGTGTGTTCATGGTGATGAAAGATCATGTCAGCCAGTGACACAGCGTAACTCACTGGTGTGTTTTAACAACAGTGGGGGAAGAAGATAAATCAGGCTGTAGATACACACACTGTACTTGTTAAGAGATACATTTACTGTTGGTTTGAGTCTAAACATAGGACAAATAGAAAAATATAAAAAAATCACTAGACTCATCCTGTAAACCAAAACTATGTAGAGGTCAAACACATAATTTAGATTCTCTGAATATAACAACATGTTGTTAACAGTGCTGCCACATACTGATAAAATACAGTGGACTTGTGACTCAGTGAAAATCTCCACCTGACTGCTAGGATGTGTTTTATTATCTCCAGCTGCGGTTGGAGGCACTCCACCAGATCGTGGTGTTGATCTCCGGCATGGAGGAGAAGGGCAGCCAGCCCGGGAACGCAGATCGATCCAGCAGTGCCTTCCAGTCCTCCTCCCTGCTCACCTCCGTCAGGCTGCAGTTCCTGGCAGGTTGTTTTGGCCTCGGCACCGTGGGCACCGGAGGGCTGAAGAGGGAGAGCGTGCAGCTACATCACTATCAGGTGTGAGGCCCGTCAGCTGCTGTGGAGTTTAAGCTAATGTTAATGGAAATCCCTCTGACTGCAGTTGATTTACAGAAGAGTCATAACCATATTGTTTTATCTATTAACAAACCAGTGCATCATTCTTTTCTGCAGGACGGAGTTAAAGCAGCGAAGAGGAGCCTCCAGATGGAAATCCAAACAGCTGTTCATAAGATCTACCAGCAGCTGTCTGTCACACTGGAGAGGGCGCTGCAGGCAAACAAACACCACATAGGTAACAGAGACTGCTACTGTCATTGGTCTGACGTTATTCAGGATGTTAAATATACAGATCACAGACATTTATCATTAAATGTTTCAGCTGGCAACTTCACCTGAGAGTGTGTGTGAACCTGCTGATCTCAGTCTCCTTGAAAGCATCACAGTGCGACTGCAGCTATTGATTATTTTAACAGTAGAGTCTTCAATCCATTGACTTATTGCGTAATAGGATAGAGATAGTTTTGCTTATTAAAGAGCAGTAGTAAATGTACAAAAGAGAAATTAAGTAAGGCCTCTGAAATTAACAACTCTTTGGTTTTCTTTTTAAAAGAAGCCACATTTTTTATTGCTTAAATTGCATTCAGGAATTAGGCTCCAATTGTTGCTGACACCACCTGATATTTTGCTTTTGGAGGTATTTTATGCCCCACCGTGAGGTGTGTGTGTGTGTGTGAGTGAGTGAGTGAGTGAGTGAGTGAGTGTGTGAGTGAGTGAGTGAGTGAGTGAGTGAGTGAGTGAGTGTGACTGTCATCATAATAACACGAATGAATGTCAGACTGCAAATTGACTGCAGCATGTTATGTTCTGTGGTTATGCCCCTGAGTTAGCCAACAGTAAGTTTTGCTCAGTAAAATAAAATCAGAAAATGAAATGCTGCAGTCAGTTTGTGAAAACATAAAGAGCCACTGTATTGATTTATGTTATTTAAATGAAAAACTGCTGATTTTCAACCAGCTCTGTGTCATCAAAATGTGGGAATTTTGTGCAGATGACCAGTGTTTGCCTTTCCACCATGCTGCCTGGAGCTTACCGCTCATCCACCAGTGGAGGTCCCCGGATTTCACGTCATCAGGAGGACTTGTGTTGGTGGATGAGCGAGGAGCTCCAGGCTGAGCGTTGTCCGTTTGCATTTAATGTTACTCCTCAGGTTGCAGTGACACAGAGCTGATTCAAAATCGGCATAATTAGCCAAATTTAACATCCAGTCTTAACAAGGAATTGTTTCAGCTCTACGTTACAGCATCATATGGAAGCCGGTCTGTTTTGGATGAGTTTTGTCTGGAGCTTTTATCTCCTTCTCGTTTCTTCTCCCTCATGTAGAAGCCCAGCAGCGCCTCCTGCTGGTGACTGTGTTCGCACTGAGCGTTCGCTACCAGCCAGTGGACGTGTCCCTGGCCATCTCCAGTGGACTGCTCAACGTGTTGTCCCAGCTCTGTGGGACAGAGACGATGCTGGGGCAGCCGCTCCAGCTGCTGCAGAAACCCGGAGTGTCCCAGCTCAGCACCGCCCTCAAGGTGGCGTCCACCCGCCTGCTGCAGATCCTCGCCATCAGCACCGGGTAAGAGGTTTAAAACTGGAGCAATGGAGACATCAGTACTGTAAACCTGAAGAAAAGATGACACTTACAGCTGCGTCTTTGCTTCCATTCACAGAACATATGCAGACAAGTTGAGTCCCAAAGTCGTCCAGTCGCTGCTGGATCTGCTCTGCAGTCAGCTGAAGAACCTGCTGTCTCAGGCCGGAGTCAGTCTCCTGTCCTCTGGGAAAGACCAGGAAGACAGCAAACATGAGGACAGTGCGGACTCTGAGAAGAAAGACTTCAGAGGTAATGAAGTTCCTCTTTTTGTTCAGTCAGTTTTATTGACCTGACGAGGGCGCCATGTTGTCCCTCTTGTGTCTGATGATACAGGAAGTTCACTGTGTTTGTGACCGTTATTACATTCATGAGAAGTCTTGGTAACAACTAAGTGAGGAATATAATAAAATTTTGTTATTAACAACAAGAATTATTTTTGTCAACAAAAAAAATATAATAATGTGGAAAACAAACACATTTACAGTCAGTTGTTATATCAGGAAACTGGAGCTGGTTTTGTTACATAACCTGTGACAGTCATGAGACCAGAATCATTGTACACATCCCAGACTGAAACTGTCAACTTAACAAAACTAAACAAAAAATGCATTTATTAAGAAACAGATATAAAACCAGACAACATTCAAATCATTAAATTGTGATTAATACTTAAATAGATTTGTTTTTTAACAAAAAAAAAAAAAAAATCCAGTATTTTTCATCCTGGACCCAATTTTTCCATGTTTTTGTGCCTAAGTAATTCGTGGGAACAACATTTTTTATGCTTTTGTGCCGGTGATAGCTGCGGCCAGAAGCATTGTTTTCAGGTTGGCTGTCCATCCGTCCATCCTATCCTTGTGAAAATATCTCAAGAAGGCCTTGAGGGAATTCATTCAAATGTGGCACAAAGGTTGACTTGGACTCAAGGATAAACTGATGAGAATTTTGTGGTTGAAGGTCAAAGGTCAGTGTGACCTCACAAAATATGTTTTTGGGGCCTTAACTCTAGAATTCATACACTATGACAAAATTTGACACGAATGTCTAACAGGATAAAATAATGAAGGTCAAAGGTCAGCTTGACTGTGACATCATCATGTTTTAACGTCATATCTCAGGAACAGAAGGGGAGACATTTGGTCAGATACTGAATTGGTGACTCTAATCTTGAAACTGTGCTGATTGTATAGATCTTCTGTGTGTGAAGCATCCATGTTTTCACTGACATGGATGGAGACTTTCAGAGACACTGGACTGGTGGGCGGAGGCTGTAATTCTAGTTTTCTTAATACTTTTAATTTCTGAACATTTTTTTTTTTTAATTTTTTTTGAGCATTTTGCCTTTAACAGGTAGGTTTAACAGGACAGGTAAGCGTGAAAGGGGGAGAGAGAGAAGGAGGGATGACATGCAACAAAGGGCCACAGGCTGGATTCCAACCCGGCAACAGCCTTGTACATGGGGTGCCTGCTCTACCACTAAGCCACCGACACCCCTTATGAACATTTTTGACATCATAGGGACAGTAAACAACAAAAAGAAAACAGAGAGCAGAAAACACACAAAAAAGACATAGATATGAAAAGATATGTTGTTCCCATACGACACTTAGACAAAAAAACATGGGAAAATAACGTCCAGTTTGAAAGAAGTTCCCCTCATTAACTGTGTTTGCAGTGAAGGTGAATAAAGGTTTGTATTCCATGAAATCAACATATGACCTGTAACATATTGTATTGTTGTTGTTTTTTTCCAGCATTAATCCGTAAGCAGCACACTGCTGAGCTTCATCTCGGAGACTTCCTCGTCTTCCTCAGGAGGGTGGTGTCCTCCAAGGCCATCCAGTCCAAGATGGCCTCCCCTAAATGGACTGAAGTGCTGCTCAACATCGCAGCGCAGAAATGCTGCTCAGGTACAACAAGCTTGTCACTGCTTTTGGATGGAAACCATGGATCTCCATATTTTGTCTATTAAAATTTTTTGATAAATCAGTGCTGCTGGTTACCCTTTACATCTTTATGTGGGTTTTACAAATACTTAAGTAATGAAAAGTTTTTAAAAGATTGATTTTAAAAGAGCAACTAAATCTCATCACTCCACTGGATTCTCAGCTCCGTCTACACCAAGCAGTCTGGTTTGGTTCAGTTCAGTTCAGTTCGGTTCAGTACGCATATTTGCTGTGTCCACGGTGAAAAGTTGTGGATGGTACCAACAGAACCGTTCCTTCCCGTCCCCCATGTTTGGTCCCCCCTCTGTTGGGGTACCTAGCACACAGATCTGGTACTAAAGGGTGGAGCTGTGAACACTGCAGTCTGATTGGTCAGTAGAGGACGCTCACTCTGGTTTTATGTAACCTCTTCATATGCATGAGTTGATGACGTGAATCCATCAGCACACCTTAAATTTCACTGTGACAACTTTGACCATCACTTTAGTTTTTATATGACACACACTTTTAGTAATGAATTTAAAAATATAGATAAATTTGGAGCGGATTATGTGAAGGTCATATATTCTAACCCCCTGGTGGCTGCTGGTTGCAGGGGTCCCTCTGGTGGGAAACTTGAGAACTCGGCTCCTCGCTCTTCACGTGTTGGAGGCTGTCCTTCCTGCCTGTGAGGCCAACATGGAGGACGACCAGATGACACAGGTGTGCCACTCTCTTTGCTCGGTACAGGTCCTCAGTAACAGTCAGTGAGCTCATACAGTTTGTTCTCTTCCAGGTCGTTGAGCGTCTGTTCGCCCTGTTGTCTGACTGCATGTGGGAAGCTCCTGTCGCTCAGGCCAAACACTCGGTCCAGATCAAAGAAAAAGTTCAGGAACTCAAACTGCAGGTGAGAAACTGACCGTTCTCCTCTCCTGCTCGTGTGTGTTGATTAGCATTTATTTGTCTGAGTGACTGACGTGTTTTTAATCCACAGGGAGAGGCAGAGGAGGAGGACGAGAACCTTCCCATTCAGGAAGTGTCCTTTGACCCGGAGAAGGCTCAGTGCTGTGTGGTGGAGAATGGCCAGGGGCTGACGCATGGCAGTGGGGGGAAAGGCTACGGCCTGGCGTCCACTGGGATCTCCTCTGGATGTTACCAGTGGAAGGTAGAGTACTGTTTTATTAAATCATTGGGCTGTAACAGTGTGTGTGTCTGCAACAAACAATATCTTCATCGTTATTTAATCTGTTGGCATGGGACAATATGATTATCCTATAATTGTCTTTATACATGGCATAAAAAATACCACTGTTATCATAGCTGTTGTGCTTCATAGTTTCTCTGTACATTTTGGTACAGTTACAAGAGTCAGCTGTTGTAAACATCAGGGCTGAATTGTAAATAATTATGGAAGGACTGAAGGAATGACAGGGCAGTAACTGATGAGAGTTTTACACAAAAGTCGTCTGCCTGTTTCGATTCACTTCATGTTTTGTTTCTGTAGTTTTACATCGTGAAGGAGAACCGAGGCAATGAGGGCACGTGTGTGGGTGTTTCACGATGGCCAGTGCACGACTTCAACCACCGCACCACATCAGATATGTGGCTGTACCGAGCGTACAGCGGGAACCTGTATCACAACGGGGAGCAAACACTGACGCTCAGCAGCTTCACTCAGGGAGACTTCATCACCTGCGTCCTGGACATGGAGGCCAGAACAATCTCCTTTGGCAAGAACGGAGAGGTGAGAGACGTCAGCTCGACATCAGCTACCACAGCAGACTCCTCCTCAGGGTTCTGTATCCATCCCTAACTGTGAACTTGTGATCCCACAGGAACCAAAGTTAGCCTTCGAGGATGTCGACGCCACAGAGCTCTACCCCTGTGTGATGTTCTACAGCAGCAACCCAGGAGAGAAGGTAAGAGATATTTTTTTTTACACAGCTTGTTGCAGGTTACCACCAGGTACCCGACCTGGTGCAGGACTCTGAATGAGACTTCAGTTATACTATACGAGTTGTGTGAGAGTTTGTGATCAGATGATTTGATATAGTTTTGCTGTTGTTAAACGCCGATCAACAATTTGTCATTTTTGGATTCTTCGTTTACCAGAGACATGTGAGAAGAACACATTTTTCTTCACAAAGTTCAGGTAACACAGTGCGACTATCTGGCATATAAATGGTCATTTTGTGGGTGAAGTATTTCTTTAAAAAGTCTTTTGGCCTTAAAAAAAACTGGTGCGGAGTCGTCGGCTTTAAACTCTGTGTGGGTGGTGTGAACCCTGAAGGAGTCGTTGAGATCACGTGAGCTCTGAGTTTCAGAGTTGTTTAGGTCACATGTGAGTCGTTGACCAACCTGGCCATTGTGTAAAATTAGGGTTTGATGGGTCCAGGTGTGAATGAGTGTTCGACCATCGTTAAACAGAGGAGGTGGACTACGACACCATTTATCATCCACATACAATGCACTCTTGGGATCCATCTCCAGACGCCCATTCTCATAGCTGTAGACACCATGTGACGTTGTAAAAATGTTGATTAATGTACGTTCTCCTTCTCACTGTAAATACTGTAAATGAATGATATTAAAAACACACTTCACTCTCCAGGTAAATCTTTTATTTCCACCTGCTCTGTGATGACGGGTGGTGCAACAGGCGAAAAGCAAGAATCAGCATTTATTATCATGTCAGAAACGTCAGAATTTTCTAAGAAGTTGTGGAGCTTCTCATGTTGACTTAACTTGCTGTTTTTCTGCTTGTTATTTGGCTCTTTTTCTTCTGCTCTCTGAAAAAGTGTAAATCTTAAATCCAATCTGAATGATGGCTTTAACAGTGTCTCTCTGTGTATTTACTGTATCTGTGAAAACACAGTGTTGTATTTATATATTCTGCTTATTTTGTCCAGGTGAAGATCTGTGACATGCAGATGAGGGGGACGCCTCGAGACCTCTTACCTGGTGACCCAGTCTGCAGCCCCATGGCCACCGTCTTGGCCGAGGCCACCACACAGCTGATCCGCATCTTACATCGCACCGACCACTGGACGCATCGCATCAACAAGACCATGATCGAGCGCCTCCACAAGATCAAACCTTGCTTCAGAGAGTCCGCCAGTGCCTCAGGCGGCAGTGGGGGTCAGCGGCTGAAGAAGAGTCGCTCTGTGCAGAGCCGTGAGGAGCACGATGCCCAGAGAGAAAGCCAAGAAACACCCACCAGGACGGAGGAGGAGAGGGGACGCCACGGACGGCAGCACGGCCTGGGGGAGCTGTCGGAGCACCACCTGAGGACGCTCTGCACGGAGGTTTGGCCGGTCCTGGCGGTGATCGGAGGGGCAGACGCAGGCCTACGTGTAGGTGGGCGATGTGTGCACAAGCAGACGGGGAGGCACGCTACTCTGCTGGGCGTGGTGAAGGAAGGCAGCACCTCAGCGAAGGTGCAGTGGGACGAGGCTGAGATCACCATCAGGTACCGGGGGAAACATTTTGCTGTGACACCTTTATTTAACATTTTTCTTTGTCTGTATGTCGCTCTGTTTGTTATTTACTGCTCTTTTTTATATGTTTACCAAATTATTATCTAGTTACCGGTAGGCCTGTCACGATAATTACCTTATCAACTTAACTATGACATGAGCTCGGTCATTTTGCTGACCTCGATGTTGCCAGATGTGTTTACATGCACGTTTGTTAACAAGACTGTCACCAAAAAAATTAGCCAACATGATGCCATAATAACCAGCAGGGTTTTGACGACCATTTTAAGACTTGGGCGCTCCGTAAATCCACCCGCAAATTGCCCGGCTCCCAGGCCATCCGTCCTTGGGAGCCAACTACAGCACATTGACTGGAGCAAACTGTGGTTTTCTACATGTCACAAGAGGCAACAGTTGTTTTTGCTTTTGTTGGCCAAATTTTTATGCCTCCACATCGGCGAAAGCTGTGGACGGTGGTATTATGTATTTGGGTTGTTCGTCCATTCATCCTTTTGTCTGACAGGACACAATATCTCAAGAACGCCTTGGGGGATTTTTTTCAAATTTGGCGCAAACATCTACTGGGACTCAATGATGAAGCGATTAGGTTTTGAAGGTCAAAGGTCACTATGACCTTGCATCCATGTCATTCTCGTGAGCGCAATATCTCAAGAAGTCCTTGAGGGAGTTACCTCAAATATGACACAAACATCCACATGACCTCAGGATTAAACTGATTATAATTTGTTGGTCAGAGGTCACAGTGACCTGTTCCATCATATTCTTGTGAATGCAGTATCTCAGAAACACCTGGAGGGACTTTCCTTCACATCTGATATAAACATCTGCTTGGACTCAACAATAAAGTGATTGGAATCCACGGCTATCGCTGGCGTGAAGGTATATTGTTTTTGGGTCTTCAGTTCATAGGTTCGTCCGTCGATATCTCAAGAACACCTTCAGGGATTTTTAAAAAATTTGGCACAAACATTCACTTGGGCTTAATGATGAATGTATTTGACTTTGGTGGTCAAAGTTCAAGGTTGCTGTGACCTTCCATCTGTCTTGTTCTTGTGAATGTGATATCTCAAGAACACATTGAGAGAATTTCTTCAAATTTGGCACAAACACCCACTTGGACTCAAAAATGAATTGACTAAAATTTGTTGGTCAAAGGTCACAGTGACCTCACAAAACTTTTTTTTTGGCCATAACTTGAGAATGCATATACTAATTATGATGGAATTTCACACAAATATTTAACAGTATAAAATAATGAAGGTCAAAAGGTCAAAGGTCAGCTTGACTGTGACATCATCATGTTTTAACGTCATATCTCAGGAACAAAAGGGGAGACATTTGGTCAGATACTGAATTGGTGACTCTAATCTTGAAACTGTGCTGATTGTATAGATCTTCTGTGCTGCCGGTGGAAGCATGTGACATATGACATGGATGCGAACTCAGTGTAACTTGAGTGATAAAGTGATAATCACTTTTTTTAAAAAAAATATGTCAAATATTTTTCTCATATTCTAATTCCAGTGTCTGTACTGACATTATTACACTATTATATTATTGTTATATCAGTGGTCACAAAATGACATTAATGTAACTTATTACCGTTCTCTCTGGGACGATATATCGCTCAGTGAGAGTAGTTATGGTGACAGGACTAGTTACCACTTTACATTTATTTTGATTTTAACAACATCAGCCATGTAAAGATTTTGGCTCTCACTGCTGTTGGGTAAAAAACGTTCTGAGTTATCTTCTTGTACTTTGTGTACATTGTGAATGATACTTTATTGGGGGAAAAACCCTTTGAATTCTTGTCGGGGCAGATCAGATGATTGTTGGTCCAACAGCAGTGTTGTGCATGACGTTCTGTTCTGGTTATTTATGTGACATGTGCTGTGGCGCTCGGTCAACAGCAGGATGACCACATGGCTGATTAACTGTATATTCTAACACAGATGAAGCTGAATGTTTGTTCACTGCCTGTGTTCACACTCCTCTGACACTCTGCGTTAGCCTCTTTATTACTTTTTCACCCTTTCATCTTCCCTCACTCTCATTTTGTCTTCATGTCACTGACTTGTCCTTTGCGTCATTAATCCATGACTCTTCTGCATGACCCAATCAATCATCATGCGGCATGTTTTTGTTTCATACCCAACACATTCCATCTTTTTATTTGTCTTGCATGCTGTGCTCTTTCTCTCCTGCCCTTTCCCTCACTTTGTGTTTCCTTCCCTTGTCTCCTTTCACTCTCCACTCCCTTCTATTAAAGCTTCCCAACTTTCTGGTCGCCTAGTGACACTCCACTATACAACCTGGATCCCTGCGAGCCGCTGCCCTTCGACGTGGCGCGTTTCCGCGGCCTCACCGCCTCGCTGCTGCTGGACCTCACCTACCTCACCAGCATCCACGAGGAAACCGCTGCCAAGCTCAGCGCACGTCGCCATGAAAAGAAGCATCGCAATGCAGCCTCGACCGGGCACGAACCAACCAGTAATGAAGAGAAGGCGGAGAGCGAGGGGCACAGCCGTAATGAACAAAAGGAGAACACTGGAGCCTCATCAGGAGCAGCTCCAAACACCACGACCTCTGACCTGCGTGTGTCCCACAGCCTGGATGAGGTGAAAGCACACGTGGCTCCAAACTCTAAGTCAGAAAGTGAGATCTCCTCTGTGGTTAGCGGAGGGGCAGGAGGGAACGAGACCCTTTTCACCACAGCTCCTCACACTCCTGCTGAGGGGAACAGGAAGAAAGGTCATGAGCACGGCTCCCGCAGTCACGAGCCGTCTCCTTCCTGCATCGCCACGCAGTCTGAGATCCACGCTGTGCAGCTGTCATATCTCTACCTGGGAGCCATGAAGACCCTCAGCGCCCTGCTCAGCTGCAGCAAGTATGCTGAGCTGCTGCTCATACCAAAGGTACTGCAGCAGTTCAGTTTAGTCTCTCGTGTTCTTCTTACAGGCAGTTATTTAACATTTTGGGAAATATGTTTATTTGCTTTCTTGCTGAGGGTTTGATGATAGGATTGATTACAGCAAAGTGCCATAAGCCACATCCACACAAATATGTTTTCATTTTAAAACAGTGCTTCCAATCAAAACAATCTTCATACACACCAGCGTTTTAGCATCATTTCATAAATAATCTTTGTCCATAGTAACGTGCCTGAAAATGCATAAAGCATGACCAGTCACATACACCAGACATGCACATGCCGAACAGGACGCAGATTGTCTGCTTGATGGTGAAAAGTAAGACCAGAGATTTCTTTGCTTAGATTGATAAGGAGGGGGAACTGTTTCTGACAGTAACACATGAGCATGAGGAGATCAAGGCAGCGAAAACCAGTTAGGGAGTTGTTAGAAAGCAAATATGGTGACAATCGTCAGTAGCATTATCCATCGCTGGAAAAAGCCATGGTGATTGGAAAGAAATACCCTCAAAAGAAGGATAAAATCACTAAAGAACTGTAGACCTAGCTATAATTTTTCTCTCAAGTTCACTCTGAACTGCACATCGCTAAATGGATCTGAAAAGTCTGTTCGTAAAACATTGAGGACGCCGAGGCCAAACGACACCACTGATTCCACACTGCAGAAGTTGCCCCATGATTTGGGACTCAGCTCCTCTACTGTCTCACTACTACTCACTATCATTATTAAATCTAATTTGTGCTGTGCTGGAGTAGTGCTCTGAGGAGTTTTATAATTAATTAATAATTAATGGACAGATGGGTCAGTCATATCGATCATCTCATTTAACTCTCAGCAAGAAAGCAAATTTCTGCAAAGCAAAAAAACAACTTGAACTTTTTCTTTGTTGTTACCTTCTTCTCCTGTTTCTATACATTTTATATAAATGGAATAATTAGAGCAATTAAATATGAAGCAAACATAATCTGTGCGCAGAGAGACAGCTGACACAGATCCAGGTCAGATGCGGGTCAGATTGATGCCAACCTGTTCTCTCTCCTGACATCAAGGTGTTACCGGAAGCACCCAGCGGGCACAACGCTGATCTGAATGCCAGCACCAGTGGAAGCACAGCTGCCACCTCGCCGGTGTGCCAGGAGGAAGTGGAGATGCGTGCGGCTCTGCAGTTCCTCATGCGCCATATGGTGAAGCGGGCAGTGATGCGCTCCCCCATCAAGCGAGCTCTGGGCCTGGCGGACCTGGAGAGGGCGCAGGCCATGATCTACAAGCTCGTTGTGAACGGGCTGATGGAGGAGCCCAGCGGGGGAAAGGCTAAGCCCGGTGAGACTGTGTGGAGGGTTGATTTACTGACTTTGTTTATTTGTTTTCTGAGAGTTCATTTTTACATCTTCGTCTGTCGTTTCGTCTCCCGCAGGAGTGAGGAGTGAACCGGAAGGTGAGGGGGAAGGTACAGAGGGTGAGCAGTTGGCACAGACCCCAGTCACCACCAGCCCCTCTGCCTCCAGCACCACCTCCTTCATGAGCTCCTCGCTGGAGGACACCACCACTGCTACAACACCCGTCACAGACACAGAGACCGTCCCTGCCTCAGAGTCCCCGGGGGTCATGCCTCTCAGCCTTCTCAGGTCAGAACAGATGGCTGCACATATTGTCAGCCAGCGAGTGTTAATCATCAGCTGTGTCTCTCATGTTTGATTAACTTGAGATGATTCTTTTAATGCTTCTGTGTGATGTCACAGGCAAATGTTCTCGAGCTACCCAACCACCACCCTCGTTCCAACCCGTCGAGCTCAGACTCCTCCTGTGTCCTCTCTGCCAACGTCTCCCTCTGATGAGGTTGGCCGCCGGCAGAGTCTCACCTCCCCTGACTCGCAGCCCTCCAGACCACAGAACAGGACGGGTACCTGTAAGTACGCCAGACTGCCATGCACGTAGATATCTGTTGTGCTGGTGAAAAGCTAAAACAGTGTGTCACAAATAAAAGCCAAAGAAAACAGCACAGTTTTTAGTTTGTTCACTGTGTTTTTGAGTTCATATTAACCAATAAAAGACTGATGGCCTTCATGACAACACAGAGTTTCCCTCAGGAATAAATTCAATGAACTCAAATTCCGTCCTAATTTCCGATCATCAGCACAACAGTGACTTTTTCCTCACACATGCCCTCCGGATTGACGGAGCTGTCAGCCTTGAGTTCTCCCACTTGTAAAGACTCTGGAGGTTGTCTTCTGTCCTGACCTTTAAACGTGCTTCTCTGATCAATCACCGCAAAGCAGATCTACAACCAGATCAATCAATCAGTGTCACCTGCTGAGCTGAATCAATACATCCTGACACATGTCTCGTAGCACTTTAAAGCTGTTCTTCTCTGAGCAGCTCCTTATTTTGTTTTTCCCCTGTGTGACACGATCCACAATCCTGCCAGTGGCGCTGCAGCACTCCACTGATCTACAGGTGGCGCTAATGTGGCAAGACGTGCAGCAATGCACCAGAAAAGGCAGGAAGAAGAAAACTGCAAGCTCATAAACATGGATGTAAACAATGCAGGTTTCATGCCTTTAGAAAAATAGGATTTACAAATGTTTTATGACGAACAAGATGCATTCAACAGGTTTTATAGAAGTCAAGGCTACACAGTGACTGTAAATGTAACTTTTATTTGATTTAAAGAAAACTTTTCAAGACACCTTTTAGTTATTAGATAAGATAAGATGAGCTTTATTGATCCCACACCGTGGAAATTCACTCGTTACAGCAGCTCAAGAATCAAAAGCAAAGGAAAACAGTGACATAAATACAAACAAAAGAAGAATTTATTTTGCAGCATAAACAAAAAAGTTTTCCATGCAGAACAACTGAGTTCAGATCATAAAAAAAAACTCACCAGATTATAATGTTGTGTCAACGACACACACAAAGTGCGATGTTCTAACCTCACATATTTCAGAATAATTTTACTCACTGTGGTGTTGTTATTTGATGCAGCTCTGTCGGACCCCAGCAGCAGGCTGTCAACATCTCCTCCTCCTCCCGCCATCGCTGTGCCTCTGCTGGAGATGGGCTTCTCTCTGCGCCAGATCACCAAAGCTCTGGAAGCCACCGGTCAGTCTCACTCAGGCTCCTCGCTTCCTGTTTGTTCCTTTATTTCATTTTGTATTCTTACTCTGAAAAACTGAAGTTCAGCAGATAACAAATTTCGACCTCTACATCACTAGAGTGCGGGAAGGAGCCGTGACTACTAGAGCTACAGCTAATGATACTGTCATCATCAATTTATCTATTGATTATTATTTTTTATAACTGATTGTTTTTAAAATGTCAGAAAATAGAATGAATGCTCATCACATCATTTCAAATCCAAAAATTGTAACTTTACAATGATATAAAACAGAAAACCAACAAAGCTGGAACAGTTATACGTTTTCAGTCTACTAAATTATGTTTAAGTGAATTAATGTTGTAGTGTAATTAAATTATTTTTGTGTATTAATGGCAAGTCATGAAAATGAATTCACAAAGCAAAGAAAATGCATGAATCAGAGGGTTTTACACAAGTGTGGCACTTATTTTGAAATCAGTAGTTGTAGTTTGAACGCTGATCTAATAAGCAGCAGGTCATATAAAAAACATTTTTATGGGTTTGACTCTGACCGTGAGGTGTGACTTTGACCGTGAGGTGTGACTTTGACCGTGAGGTGTGACTTTGACTGTGAGGTGTGACTTTAATCGTGAGGTGTATTGAGGGGTCCGGTCTGTGTTCCTGTTATCTCAGGTGCTCGAGGAGAAGCAGATGCTCAGAACATCACAGTGCTGGCCATGTGGATGATAGAGCATCCAGGCACAGAGGATGAACATGACGAGCCTCACACCAGAGGCAGCGGCGTTGGCGGTGACGGGTCGGATTCGTCCTGTCCGGGCGCGATGGCCTCAGCTGGAGGCAAATCTCTGGACAGGAGCCCGTACCTGTGCTCTCCCGGAGACATTGCCAGTGCAGACGCTTCGGAAATGGAGGAGGGCTTCAGTGAGAGGTACAGAGAGAGTTCTCACAGGAATGAGTTTTCATATTAGAGGTCTCCACAGATCCAAAACTGACAACATGAATAAGTTAACAAGCAGTTCACCGTCATAAAGAGCAGTTATAAAGTCGTAGAAACTAATTCCATGATGTCATTTGTTTATGTGCCTAAAAGATTAATCTGTAGACAGACAGACAGAACAACAGTAAAACTTTGTGTTCTCTGTAGTCCTGAGGGCCTGGAGCAGGACAGTGCATCAGCCTCCAGCGGCGGTCCGCTCAGAGGCCGCTCTGCTGCTGGCAGGAAACACCGCTTTGACCTGGCAGCTCGCACACTGTTGGCCCGCGCTGGTGAGAATATTCTACACATATATATTTAATCTTCACACTGTGTCCATCTCCCACTGCCTCAGTTTACTTGAACCTTCCTCTCCGTCTCAGCTGGACTGTACCGCTCGGTGCAGGCTCACCACAGCCAATCACGACGGGAGGTCTCATCGCTCCAACAGCAGCAGGACCCTGGCGCTCTTTACGACTTCAAACTGGATGAAGAGCTGGAGATGGACCTGGACGAGGAGACCATGGAGGCCATGTTTGGCCAGGACCTCGCCAGCGACACCGACATTCTGGGAATGTGGATCCCGGAGGTACTGGACTGGCCAACATGGGTGTGTGTGACTTTATGCTACGTCCAGAGGACTGCCATCTTCATTCTGCTCTTTACCTGCCCTGCATCACTCTCACAGTTTATTCATTCTGTATCTGCACGCTGAACTGCTGCTTTATAAAACACTAACTCACTGATCTAACTGGCATGGAATGAAAGACTTAACTCTGAACAATAACACAAGTGTTACAACTGGCTGATGCTTTGAACTCATTAATGCAGAGCTACAGTTGATTCATGTTTCTAACACGTCACTTTGCACGGGTGCTGAACTGTGTCTAAACAAATTTGTCTCGTGTGTGTGTCGTGTTTGTCTTCATGTATGTGAATATGTGTGTGTGTGTTCCTCTGTGATTGCACCACACCTCGCAGCACGTGTGTGAGACAGACGATCGAGACGAAGTGGTGGTGTGCGAGCTGTGCGAGGCCAACGTGGCCAACTTCAATCAACACATGAAGAAGAGTCACCCGGGCTGCGGCCGCAGCGCCAACCGCCAAGGCTACCGCAGCAACGGCTCCTACGTGGACGGCTGGTTTGGAGGCGAGTGTGGGAGCGGAAACCCTTACTACCTGCTGTGTGGCGGCTGCAGAGAGAAGTACCTGGCCATCAAAAGCAAAGCCAAAGTCCCCATCGTGGAGAGGTGAGCACACCTGAGAATGATCAGGGGAACATTACAGGAAGTTAAACTGATAAACTCTGACGTGACTCTGTGACATGTTGTTCAGGTATAAGGGGCAGGCTCCCGACCTCCTGGGGAAGCAGGACAGTGTCTATGAAGGTGAGCTGTGTCGTGAACATTTCAACATGTGATGTGTTTAATGTGTCTCACACAGAAGTGTGTGTTTGTCTTTGATGTTTAACTGGTTGTGTGTGTGTCCATCCCTCTGCAGAGGACTGGGACATGCTGGACGTTGATGAAGATGAGAAACTGACGGGTGAAGAGGAGTTTGAGCTGTTGGCCGGCCCGTTGGGTCTCAGTGAGCGCAGGATCGTCCCCGAGGCAGTCCAGTTCCCCGACAGTGATCCGCTGGGAGCGTCTGTTGCCATGGTGACAGCCACCAACAGCATGGAGGAGACCCTGCTGCAGATCGGTGAGGAGGAGATCTCAGTACTCCTGGAGACATATCTAATGCATTGATGTTAAAATAACTGTGTGTGTTTGTGTTCAGGCTGTCAGACCTCAGTGGATAAGAGTTCATCAGGAAGAGTGACCCTCGGCGAGCAGGCAGCGGCCCTCCAGAACCCCCACGACCGAGTGATGGCTCTGAGGAGGGTGACGGCTGCGGCCCAGGTGCTGCTGGCCAGGACCATGGTGATGAGAGCGCTGTCCCTGCTGTCTGTCAGGTAGGCTGCACACTCCGTCTGTCAGTCTGTGCGTCTGTGTCCAGCTCTATTCTGAAATCAGATCTTAGCGGGTCAAAACTTTCTGTATTTCCACAGACTTCAGTCAAAAAATGGACTAAACAAATAAGTTGTCTGTTTAGCTGTTCGTACATTAAAGCCACTGGGTCTCATTCATGAAACGTGAGCAGAAGGAATTTGTGTGTAAACTGTTCACAGACGGAAGTTTACGTGCATGTCCACATTCATCAATATTTTAGTAGCTCCGATCTTTTCGTAGCTACTAACAAAATCTACTCCTCCTACACAATACACAGATGCCTTTGAAACACGTGATCTAAACTTGACAAAATATTAAAAATATAACACATTTAGTTAAATTAGTTGACAATTAGCAGGTTTAAGATCCTGATTAGGTTCATGATTGTGAATTATCTATGTAAATCGACTCAGTAGATTACACGTTCTTTCTACATGTTGAATGATGATAATAAAAATATCCGTAAGGACAGCCGGATCACAGCCTCTTCAGCCTTGGTGCCTGGGTTCAGCAGGAGAAGCTGAAAGAATTATTGAGACAACACGTTTTTTTTTTTTTTTTAATAAATCTGATTTGAAAAATGTTTAATTTACGTTGTATAAAACAGAGCTTTAGGCTATTAAGATTCAAATAATTTGAAGACGATGCATACAAACTGCTGTAGGCTATATGTTAGCCGTATCATTTGTTAAAATAAATGTTAAATAGCTCTACATTCCAACAGCCATCACTGATTTAGAGTTTATCCATTACGCACAAAACATCTCTGGTTTCCCATTCCCACTTCATTCAAAGCCCCACAAATGTTTGGTGACCGCTACGCTATCAATGATGGTTTTCAGAATGTATTATGATACAACACCTTACAGTCTGGGTTTCATGTTGACTCCAGTGGAGGCATGTCACTGGCTCCATCAGGAATAATTCCTGACAGAGAGGTCTCCCCAATTATGCCAGCGATGCGCTCGTCTGCAGCAGATAGTTGTGACTGTGAGCCTCCTCCTCCTGTGACCGCTGTATTTTTGTGTGTGTGCTTATGCGTTTCTTTGCCTCCAGTTTCATATCAAACCATTTACGCTTCACCTCTGACATGGTTCTTTGTGCCACGGAGACAACATTAACAGCATCTATTACCTCCCTCCAGGCCTTAGCTTTGTCTGTCCCTGTCACACCACTACTAACTGAAGAAAATAAAAAAAGTCCACTTCACCCAAAATTATTTCGATTTCCGCTTCGGAAAAATTATTTTTTCTTTCACTGTCTTTCTTTCTTTGCGCCATGACTGACAGGTCGACTGGATGCACTTACACCTCCTTATATGGTGGTCATTGGCTATTCGTGGGCGGGGATTTATGCTAATTGATGATTACCGGGGGCGCGCTGTCACTTTACGATGGATTGGCATTCATGATCATACACACGTGTTTACGATCAAATCTGAGTTTCCCACGGCGTTCCTGAATCCGGAGTAGGTTTTTAGTAGAGCAGGCTTTTATGTGCAAATCTACACACAGATTTACTCACTTTTCATGAATGAGACCCACTATTTGTAGGACTTGAAAATTCATGACTGTGGTGCCCCCTGGTGGTAGATTATCAAATGAAAGACTTTTCTTTAAACAATATATGTCATCAGAATATTTTTGAAAAATGCCATACTTATTAAAAAAAAGTGGTTTACATTCAACAAATTGGCATAAAGATAATTAATTTGGAGACGATGTCTCAGACAAAATGAATTGCTCAGATGTGCAGTATATTTCACTAAATTTTTTGAGCATCTGTTCTTCATTAATAATGAAAAACCTGTTCAGCCTTTACAGCTAATCACTAAAAACTGCATATTGTGAAATAAACCACATTAATAAAATACAAGGCTGATATAGTCACAAAATATTTTATTCATTATAATGCCTGTAATAAAAACATTTAAAAAAAGCCATTTAAGCCATAATTTTAATATTTTAAAAGTCTTCCTAAAATACACCTAACAGGTAGATGGAAGTAGGTCTCTGATGCCTGATTTTACATGACGTCTCTCCTCCCTCTCTCACAGCGGCTCGAGTTGCAGCCTTGCAGCAGGTCTGGAGTCTCTGGGTTTAACTGACATCAGGACTCTGGTCAGGCTGATGTGCCTGGCGGCAGCAGGCCGAGCCGGTCTCTCCACTAGTCCCACATCCGGCTCCAGCCACGCTGAGAGGCCCCGCGGGGCCGCCAAGGCCAGCAAACCCATCTCCTGTTTGGCTTACCTCAGCACAGCTGTGGGCTGCTTGGCCTCCAACAGTCCCAACGCCGCCAAGCTGCTGGTGCAGCTCTGCACTCAGGTACACAACGTTACTCATCAGCCTGGTTCTCTTAACTCATGTCATCGCTTCACTGAGATGATTTTACAGGTTTTACTGATTTTAAACAGATCAGGGTGCAATGAAGTCAGACATTTTGCCTTTATTTAGATAGAAGACAATGGAGATATGAGAGTAAATGAGGAGATAGAGATGAGGGATGAATTACATGGTCAGTCAGTACATTTCCAGTCACAGAAAAGTGGAGCTGCAGTCCCAGCTGGACGAGGACATCTAACTGGCCTACTGTCCTTGTCCCAGTATACAAGCACGAGAGGGGAATCCATTTATTGAGCCAAGTATGTGCGACTCCTCTACGATAGGTGGAGATATGCCCCCTTTCAGCTTGTTAGTATTGGACCTTTTTCCTGTTGACCTATTACGTCACAGACCAAACAATGGACAAACAAGTTAGCTACGGTTAGCTAGCAGCTAACTGCTACCATGGTGGACAACTTTACAGCTCTGTACATTTGGTCCGTCCAAAAAGTCACGGCTCTGGATGTAGATTTCTCCATGTTGTTAGCGGCTTCTTCTTCTCTTACACATTTAATGCTATTGGACTTCCGGGTCAAAGCCCGGGGCGGAAACTGTGGAGCATGCTCAGAGCGCCTCGGCCAGTTTGGGTCTGATTGACTGTATACATGCAGGAGTCACATGATCTGGGTGTGTTAGTCCCACTGTGACACATTCACTGCAGGACCATTTCAGTGTGTTTTAAAGTCTGGTTTTAGTCAAGGCTGACAGACCTTCAAGTTTAAATGTCCTGTTTCTTCTGTCCTCACTGGTTCCTGATCGGCTCCCAGTTATCTGTTTAAAATAAAAACTGCAGCTTTATAAATTCTCTCTGTATAATGCAATAACTCTTCCTCTCCAGAACCTGATCTCCGCAGCTACCGGTATGAATCTGACCACCGTGGACGACCCCATCCAGAGGAAGTTCCTGCCCAGCTTCCTGCGCGGCGTGGCTGAGGAGAACAAGCTCGTCACATCTCCAAACTTTGTGGTCACGCAGGCTCTGGTGGCGCTGCTGGCAGATAAAGGAGCCAGACTCAGACCTGTGTATGACAAGGCTGATATGGAGAAAAGAGGTTTGTGGACATGTAGAGGAGCAAGAGATAGAAATAACCCGGTGATCAAATCTGTCACTGTGTCTGAATGTTTATTCTCACAATCAATCATTTCAAATCGATAGTTTGTGTGATGGTTAAATATCAGATACTGTTTGTGTAAGTTGATTTGCTGCTTTGTTTTCCTTTCATATTTTCCAATAACTCTTATATTGAGTGATCAAACATATTGAACATGACACTGCCGTGATTAATGAAGCCACATCATGTACTTTTATCTTTTAAGATGTGTCAAGTCATTTTTTTTGTGGCTCCAAAAGTTTTTCCTTTTAATTTGAGTGTTTCAGTGTTTTATTAGATAGTTTTGATCATCTCATAATTAGTATTTGTGTATTTGTGGAATTCATTTAGTAATAATTCATCAGTGATGTCTGTGAAGCCGTCACACACACACACACACGGCTCATGTGTGTTCCAGTTTGTGTCTCTGTTCAGTGCGGTCACTTCTCTGTGCCTCCTGTGTTTTCATGTTTGTCACTTTCATTGTTGCTCCTTCTCTCACTCACCGGGAAATCTTGTCACCTTCTGTTCCGTGTCGAGCAGGTCTAATTGCGCATTTGTATGCCCATCCTTCCCATAATCCCTCCGCTGTAGGGCCTCTGGAGCTGGCCAACGCTCTGGCGGCCTGTTGCCTGTCCTCCAGGCTGTCCTCACAGCACCGTCAGTGGGCCGCCCAGCAGCTGGTCCGCACGCTGGCCGCCCACGACCGCGACAACAACCAGAGCCGGCCGCAGACCTTTGCCGACATGGCAGGGGACCTGCGGAAGTGCTCCTTCATCAAGCTGGAGGCTCACCAGAGCAGAGTGAGTCGATATAGGAAGAGGATCTGCCTCAGAGCTCAAAGTGTTTGATGGAAACTGTTTGGTATTAAATCAAGTGTGTTTCACTCAGGTCATCACGTGTGGGTGGTGCAGTAAGAAAGGCCTGCTGGCTACGAGTGGCAACGATGGGACGGTCAGGATGTGGAACGTAACCAAGAACCAGTACACCCTGCAGCAGACCTGCATCTTCAATAAGGAGTAAGGCCTCCTGACACACAGCACAGTCTCAATATTCTGCATGCACACACCTCAGGATGTTAAAGTGATAGTTTGGATTTTTTAAAGTGGGGTTGTATGAGGAATCTAAAGTCAGAGTGTTATCTACAGTAGATGTCAGTCAGCTCAACCCAGGTTTGGAGACACAAAACGAATTTTAGCCACCTAAAGAAATGAATATCAGTTTAAGTGTACGCTATATTTAGAATATTTTCACAGCTTTACCTTTCTGTCAAACGGCCCTTTCCGACAGGTAACTGAAGCTGAAGTTTATGCTCTCTTTAAAGCCGCCAAACTCCTCATGTGTTAGCGTGTGACTTTGATGCATCCAAACTTACCCTTGAAAACACCAAAGCTACTTAGCAGACTAGCATGTTAGCAGTTAGCTTGACAGCTACAGTAGTTTACTACCTAGCCGTGCAAGTATTCGCTATGCTATCTGCCTTGGCGCTGACATGTGACAGAATCAAGTGTTTTGCAGATTAATTTTGCTGTGCCACCTTCTGGTGCAACCAGGTCTGACATGTAATATGAAAGGTTTCAGGGCACCTGCAGTTAATTATAATCAGACTCTGCAGTCTCCTCAGCTCTAGCATTGTAGCATCTTTTAGCTAATTGTTTTAGTTTCACGGCCTTCCAACTCTGCTCTGATCACATTTGTTTCAGCCTAACAGCTCTGATAAACCCACTTCCTGCCCAGCACCAAGAGACAATCAGAGAAAGTTATCAACTAGCTGGTCAAGTGGAGCGTTTCTCAGCTAAAGAGTCAGATATATTTCTCGGAGTTAAGACCCATACACGCCAAACCAACGTCGGAGAACTAGCAGCGACAAGAGCCCCCTGCTGCGTCGCCTCATTTTGCCTCTCTCGGCCAAAAAGTTGCACATGAACACACCAAACCGACAGCCAAAAAGCGTGCGTGTTCTGCGCCTGCGTTAGAGGACATGCTCCTCCACACCAGCAGATGGCGGTCGTCTGTAATCAGCAGTCAAAAAGTGAAACAGGACATTAACAACCTCATTACAGCTTTATAAAGTGACAATATGTCAGATGATTCATCACCAAACAAATAAATGAAAGAACGCGACTTTAAGATCTTATTCTCATCTGTGTTTCTTCTTTGTCCTCTCATCAGTGACGGCTCTTCAGAGGAGGGTGTGTCAGGTTTGGGATCTCCCAGCGACCCCTGTCTGTCTCCTCTGGCCTGGAGTGTCACTGGAAAATATCTGGCGTCTGCCATGGAGAAAATGGTCAACATCTGGCAAGTTAACGGTGAGCATTTATTTCTTTAAGCTCCTCCGGGGTCTTTACTATGTTTCAGTTAATCAGACAGTGTGATAATGATGAGCTCAGTTTGAGTTGTTCCTAAAAACTGTTCCATTATAAAACATGGCCCTGCGTGTATCAGTGGTGTGTGAGGTCAGCAGAATATGAATGAGACCACATTAAGATTTTATAGCTCCCATTAAAAATAGATGCACTGGATGTGGTCCAATCATCATTTCCTGCCTCCCACCACACGCCCTGCAGCATGAACCATCTGTCCTCGGCTACTTTCAGTCGCCTCCAGAACAAACGTCCACAATCACATTGATATTAGCCTCCATGAGCACATTGAAATGTGACTGTGTCTGAGCACTACCGTCTATCTGTGGGCGTCGTTGTTCAATTAGTTCAAGCCACAGTCCATTATAAACCTCTCAATAGATGTTAATGCAGCTTTTAAAGTATAAAACTAAATATACGCTGCTGTTAGAAAGTTTGGAGTCAGCTGTTAGTTTGTTTTTCCTCTTTCTCTCAATAATCACTGTGTTAAAGGTCCAGCGTGGGATTTAGGGGGATATATTAGCAGAAATAAATAAGTAAATAATATAATGATGATATTTATTTGTGTGGCACTTATCTAAACAAGGTTACACAGTGCTTCACATAGTGCATAAAAAAGACAACAAAACAATACAATATTAAAAAAAGGTTGCCTTCAATTTTTTATTAGATAATATTTCAGTCAGGAGAGAGATGTTAATATACTAAAAAGAATACTTATTAACATGTGCACATAAAAATGAAAAATGTGAAAAGTCTTTGGTGATTAGACGACATAAAGATGGTATGATTTAAAGAGGGTGATGAATCCGTAGTTGAATCCCACGACAATCCTGTGAACAGCCTGTGACGTCCTGGAGGGACTGTGTTTCAACAGTATCGTATATTCTCACTGTGATAAAATGACTCTGTTTACGGCTCCACACTAACTGCGACCTCCTCTTCCTCCTCTCAGGCGGTAAGGGCCTGTTAGACATGCAGCCTCACTGGGTGTCGGCGTTGGCTTGGCCTAAAGAGGAAGCAGAGTCTTTGTGGTGCGGGGAACCCAAAGACATGCTGCTGGTGGGACGTATGGACGGGTCTCTGGGCCTCATTGAGGTGCTGGATACCTCCATGATGCACCGCACCGAGCTGGAGCACTGCTACAGGAAAGATGGTACGAAGAGGGAGTGAGTGAATGAGTGATGAACGTCTGTGCTGAGTGTTTCTGTGGTCACATGTGACTGAACACTCTGAAGAGTATTAACTAATGTTTGATAATGACTCATCTCTCAGTGGCGGTGATGCACATAGCCTGGTACAGTGAAGACAAGCCTTTTGCTGTGGGCTACGCAGATGGCAAGCTGCTGATTGGATCCAAAGAGCCTTTAGAAAAAGGAGCCATCGTGGTCATTGATGCACACAAGGTAAATTATTTCTACTTATTTCTACTCTCTCTCAGACTCTCCTCAGAGCTGACTCTCTCTGCGTGATGTTTTTACAGGAGTCCATCACCAGTATGAAGTGGAGCCCTACTGGGGAGATCCTGCTGACTTGTGCCAAAGAGGACACAGTGAAGCTGTGGGCCAGTCCCGACCCTCACTCCAACTCAGGCTCCGGCTCCAGCTGGCGCTGCCTGCAGAGTCTGAGACATCCCTCCCCGGTGAACGGTGTGGCCTGGTGCAGCCTGCTGGGACGCGGCCCGAAGGCCCTCAGCATGTTGGCCATGTAGGTCGCCCTCAAATACCAAGAAGTTTGATTACTTTCTGCTTTTATTAGAGAGTTAATGAGTGATGTTCTCTTCTCCTCCACACATGCTGACACCATCATTTAAAGTCCCCCCTCCACTCAAATATATTTTTCTTCCATTTATGTCCCATAAAATCTCTGACCTCGACTAGACTGACTTGTATCTGTGCAGACTTTGTCAATAGAGAAGTGTTTTAACAGTCCTCTACTGAAGCGGTCGCTGTCTGTGTACTTCCCTAATATCTTAGACTAAAACATACAGCTATATGAGGTACATCACTAATATGTCAGTACAGAGAGCAGAGTTAGCATTAGCATAGGGACAGTTCCAGTGGCTAGAAGTCGGACAGTCACATAAAGTGCCGCGGGGGTAGCGCATCCAGGAGCGCTAAGACATGTCTAGCTGCCGCTGGTGTGGGGTTTACACATTGAAAATAATAGGGGCGTATTTTTTGACACATGGCGTTTGTCGCCGGTGTGTTTTGGCATTTAGACATTAAAAAAACATTCAAATTAAATGTGAAGACAATAAAAACAAGAAGCAAACGCAAACAAATAAATAGACTTTAAACTAAAAAGATATTACGTGTCTAGTATTTACAAAGAAGAATATTTCTCAGGGAAAGTTTTCACGTGTTGCTCTATTTTGTTTCAGATGCTGTCAGAACGGTCTGGTCACCGTCTGGACTGTTCCTCAGGACATTTCTAACTTTCCAGAATCCTCTTCGTCTGAGTCGGAGGGATGGTGGGAAAATGAAACAAAACCCAAATTCATGGTGCGTAACGTGCATTCATGAAGAATGAGATGTTATTTTTGCTTTTGTCATATTGATGTTAGAAGGTAAACAAGGTCACATAAACAGCATTTTTACTGTTTATTTTAAATTCCTGGATATTTGATGGATGTTGATTGAAATGATCTTTGCCTCAGCTTCTAAATATTTATGACCACACCAGCAGATTCAAACCAAAGTGTCATGCTGTTTTTCTCTCTCTCTCAGGGCTGATACCCAGTAGTTTCAAGCTTTGTTTGTTTTTGTTTTCCGTGTTTATTCATTCTGTTAAAACTTGGTATTTTGGCAGAGTTGCAGATAAAATAAAACGACACTAACATTATTAGCATCATAATATTTGTAGAATTAGATTCCAGAGGTGGCTGCGTAGGATTGTTTCAGACTCGTGTGAACATTTCTAATAACTCCAGGGCATTGTAAAGTCCAAAGGTCAAAATGTATTGAAAGAAGAGAATGTTATCATCTCCAAAATTTCAAAGTTCTTCTTCAATCCAATTTTTTTATTTATATTTATTAATTAAAAAAGTTGATCCAATAAAAAAGAAGACTAATTTTATCTGATGAATCACTTTATTCAAAATTAGAATTTTGTTTGAGGATTAATTTTTTTTTAGGGTAATGATGTCATAAAATATGGCAACAGACATTTGAAACTTCACTTGAAAACCACAAAAATGTAAATCAGCACATACTGTAGAGTCGTAGGTGTTCCTCCACTCACCTGTGGTCTCTGTGTCGCAGTCTTCCCGGTGGTCAGGAGACGGAGCGACGTGTGTTTTCCAGCTGAAAGGCCACATCACTCCAGTCAGAACGTTGGCCTTCAGCCCCGATGGTCTGGCTCTGGCATCTGGAGGAGTCGGAGGCCTCATGAACATCTGGTCCCTGCGGGTAAGAAACACATACACACACAGAGATGGAGGTGGAAACACCCACACAGTACGTATGCACGTACTGCAGGTACAGTTCACATAGATACACAGAGCGACAGATGTTGGCACAGAGGTGAAAAGAACAAATGATTCATTACACACTCATCATACTGTCGTTGTAGATCTCACTGTAATTCTGTGTGTGTGTGTGTGTGTGTGTCCAACAGGACGGGTCGGTGCTTCAGACAGTAGTAGCCGGTTCAGGTGCGATCCAGAACATCGTCTGGATCCCAGATGTGGGCGTCGCTGTCTGCTCCAACAGGTCCAAGGTACGGCGTTTCACCTGATGTGTATTTTTCCATGTTTCTGTCAGCGTCGCTGAAATGATTATTTATTAATGCTCTGGTCTGCTTCATTTCCAGGATGTGCTGGTCGTTAACTGCTCCAAAGAGTTCATGGCGTCCAGCCACGTGCTGGCCACCTGCCGCACTGCTCTGAAGAAGCAGGGCGTGGTCGGTCTCAACATGGCACCCTGCATGAGGGCCTTCCTGGAGAGACTGCCGGTCATGCTGCAGGAGCAGTACGCCTACGAGAAGGTACACAGACATTTCATATGAATGGGTCTACTGACATTTAAATGATAATTTTCTCTAAAAAGTCCAACTGGAGATTTATATAGAACAAACACAATGTGAACACACTGTTTTGAGAAGTTTTTGGATGTGTGATTTGTGCTCAGCAGAAGCTCCGACATCAAACACTCGCAGTCTGAAGTCTGAATAAGGATTTATTTTCTCAATATATACACAACTGCAGACGCACAATCCACAAGTCTTTTTAGTCGGTCTGAACCTTGACCTACATTTGTGTGTTTGTTTTGTTTTGATGTTAGCACACGTCGTTTTTCTGCAGGACATAAATTCCATATATGAATACACACATTATATCCAGTCTGATCAGGTCAGACTGTCTCACTGTGTCGCTGAGTCTCTGTGTTTGTGTGTCAGTACGTATGATATAAGCACACTCTTGTGAACTGTGAAGTGCAGATATAATGACGTGTTGCTGCTCTTTATGACCGTGGCTGCTCATTAAACGGTGGAGCATCGTGCAGAAGTTTCTCATGTCTCCTTTTCCAATAAACTTCCAGCCTCACGTCGTCTGTGGGGAGCAGCTCGTCCACAGCCCCTACATGCAGTGCCTGGCCTCCCTGGCTGTGGGTCTCCACCTGGACCAGCTCCTGTGTCGCCCCCCTGTACCGCCTCACCTCCGACACTGCCCACCAGAGTCTGGCACCGCCGTCTGGTGTGCCAGCGAGTGGGCCTGGTTGGACTGTTTCTCTACGACAGTCAAGGCAGCGGAGGCTCTCGCTCGAGGCGCCACCTTCTCCGAGTCGTTCTCTGTTCCCGACCTGGAGCCTGTGCCCAAAGATGAGATGGCTCTGCTCATGGTGAGGGAGGCCTCGGCTCAAACTGTTGAAACTGCACTTTATAATAACCTCCTGTTGCATTTGATAACAGTGTTTATGCTCTGTTCTTCAGGACAACAGTAAATGGGCGTCTGGTATGGATGAACAGATCATGTCCTGGGCCACCTCCAGACCAGAGGTAATTCACACTGACGCCCAGATTAGATCCAATAAGCCATTCATTCTCAGACTCTGGTGATAATTACCCCTTTATTTATCTGTGTGTTTGTGTTTGTGTGTGTGTGTTTGCAGGACTGGCACCTGGGGGGGAAGTGTGATGTGTATCTGTGGGGTGCAGGGCGACACGGCCAGCTGGCAGAGGCCGGCAGAAACATCCTGGTGCCAACCACCGCCTCGTCCTTCTCTCAGGCTCAACAGGTACGCAGACACGTCAGGTCTTTATTAACTACATCCACCCAACGCCGGCCTGCTGCCTGTGATCACATCAAGAGTGAAGGATACACGTTATTCATACGGTGTAGATCAGAGATACTCACCTGCTTTACCTGAGGGCCACTTTTGCAAAAGGACAGGAGGCCCGGGGCCACTTATTAAACAAATATGAGTAATATTTATCAGTATATATAATGAATAAATTACCTTTCTTCAACTTTATCACATTTGTTTCATCACTCATCCATTAAATCAAGTCACAGCAGCTCTGCACAGATCAGGTGTAGGCAGAAGCGTTTAAAGGATTTAAAGACATTCAGGGTTTAGACCTCTGTTAGGCGGGGTTCAGTGTATCCTCCCCTGGCACTGTTTTTGGGTAAATAAGCTCTATTTTGTTGCTTTTTTTATGCACTGTGAGACCTCATTTACACCCAGAGTACAAAAAACGCTACAAAGTGTGAATCAGTTTATTTTCATTGTGAATTAGAAAATAGTCAGAGGGCCAGATTTGGCCCACGGGTCAGGAGCTCAGTATCACCAGTGTAGATGTTTATTTGTGCAGATTGTAAAGCACTTTGAGTCAATCAGTGATTTGTAATACTGGGCTTCATAAATAAAAATGACTTGACTGTACTATATAATCTGTCACAATTACATGCATGTCTTTTGGCCATACTAAATCACTGGAGTTAATGAATTTAGAATTTTGAAGCACAGAAAGCTTTTTACCAGCTTCAACATTTGATCCCTGTTGTTTTATAGAGTCGTACAATGTGGTGCTATCTCCTCTTGTTCAGCTGCTGTATCCCACCAGCATGTAAGTACTGTTCATTTCCTGTGTTTGTTTCCTCCGTCAGGTGGTGTGTGGTCAGAACTGCACCTTTGTGATCCAGCCAAACGGGACAGTGTTGGCCTGTGGCGAGGGCAGCTACGGCCGTCTGGGTCAGGGAAACTCTGACGACCTGCACGTTCTCACCGTCATCTCAGCTCTTCAAGGTGCCACTGTACACACTGTTGATGATGCATCACTGTAGTGGCTGATAGACCAGCTGAAGTCATGTTATTTTAAACTGTAGTGACCTTCTTCAGTAACGCCATCATGTGTCACCTCCACCCTGACCATGTGGTCGTCTCTTTGCCTCTCAGGTTTTGTTGTAACTCAGCTGGTGACATCCTGCGGCAGTGACGGTCACTCCATGGCTCTGACGGAGAGCGGTGAGGTGTTCAGCTGGGGCGACGGTGACTATGGCAAGCTTGGCCACGGGAACAGCGACCGCCAGCGCCGACCGAGGCAGATCGAGGCGCTGCAAGGAGAGGAAGTGGTGCAGGTCAGTGTTTTCCTCCTCAAGACTGTTTAGGAACAAAATGGACACAGGAACTAGAGGAGAGTGGAAACTTTTCGTAAGGCCAACAATGTTAACAAAAGGAAAAAAATAATCTGTGTATCCGCCCCATGACTCCACTCCACTACATTTATTTCCTGCTGCTGCACCCTGCCACAAAGTTTAATGAAAATAAAACCAGCAGTTTTTCCATAATCCTGCCGACAGACAAATAAACCAGCCCCTCCAGGATGTTGTGATGCTGTGATCGCAACAATTAACACAAATTCAGCCAGTACTGGTGAATTCTGCATGAACCTTTTCTAATCAGTGCAACTTCGCCACAAATTTCACTTTTTAAAACAGGTAGAATCTCATTTCATTGGAGAGCTGCAGGCGGCGTATTGATAAGCTCTCTCTTACTCTCTCTGTTCATCATGAGACTGCTGCTGCAGAAGTGTGAGCTCCACATCTGGGAGGAGAGAGCCAAACACACACACACAGTGACAGGGCTAACTGTTAGCATTGAACGGCTAGCATTACCCAACGGTCATTAACAGGTTTAAGGACTGAATCGAACCAGTTCGGTGTTGGTGTGAGATTGTTGGGACTGTTACACTGCTGAGTGTTCGATGTGTTGGATGTTAGCTGCTGCTGCTGTGTTAGCTCATGCTAACAACGCAGAGAGAGCAGGAAGAGAGCTTCTCACAGAGACGCTCCTTCAGTGCTGTATGGAACAGCAGCAACAGCTGTCGGCCCCCTCACCACCACCATCGCTAATAGATTTCAATTCTGTGGGAAAAAGTCAATGCTCATAATAATGGGCTCCAAATCTGAGATGGCATCGCAGCTTATTTGCCATTTTCATTGCAAAAAACACTTATAAACATTGCAACATGCAAATTGTTTCAGGTTGCAACATTCCCCCCAAAACAGCCCCAAAATCCTGGAGGGACTGGAGAAAAAAGCAAAAACATGAGCTCCTCTGTGGAGGTAAAAGGGGATTTTATTCAGTTCCAGTAAAAGTCTGCAGTCTACCATTTAGTTCACAGGTACCTGATAATAATAAATGATTTCGCTGATTGTTTGGAAGCTGTTGTCACCATGTTCTTCTTTTCTGTACTCCTCAGATGTCCTGTGGGTTCAAACACTCAGCGGTGGTAACAGCTGATGGAAAGCTGTTCACGTTTGGGAACGGTGATTACGGCAGACTGGGTTTAGGAAACACCTCCAACAAGAAGCTGCCTGAGAAGGTCACCGCTCTGGAGGGCTACCAGGTCGGACAGGTAAGACAGGAAAATATTGGAACTTACTGAGAGGAGACGGTGACATCTACTTAACGACTCTGCAGATTCTTTTATTTATTTTTATTATACTGAAGTTTGTATTGTGCAAATACATGTTCATAAACAGGACTACAGATAGAAACATTCAGTATTTGACTGTTTATTTATGTAACATTATTTTGTTCAAATATTCTCAAGAAGAAAACATGACTGATCCATTAAAGATAAAAAAGAGGGATATGAGGCACTTACATAATAAAAGACATTAACTTAAATGATAATTGTTACATATGTGAATCTAAAATATTCCCAATTCAGACATTTAGAGACATCAAAACTGCTGTATCTTTTCCAGATTCATTTGACTATTTTTTTCAACAGTATCTTTATTGATTTTAACAACAAAAAACAGACCTACAGATACACACATGCCAGTATGTGTATGTTATGTATCCACAAACACCCAAAAAACTGGACACCTGAGCAAAGTCTCGTAACCATTGGAGTATTTTTAAGTAGTGAACACATCTGAGTGACGACCTGTCAGAGTTGATGTCTCTGTGTGTTTCCCTCCTCAGGTGGCGTGTGGTTTGAACCACACTTTAGTCATCTCCGCTGACGGGATGATGGTTTGGGCGTTTGGTGACGGAGACTACGGAAAACTAGGACTCGGGAACTCCACAGCCAAGTCCTCGCCTCAGGTAGGCGCTGTCGCTCTGTGAGGTCCACTGCTTCATATTTATGAGTAAATTTAGTGAAGGTTTATTTTGAAATTTGACTCTTCAGAAAGTGGACGTGTTGTGTGGAATCGGCATCAAGAAGGTGGCGTGTGGGACTCAGTTCTCTGTGGCTTTAACCAAAGATGGCAAAGTTTACACATTTGGTCAAGGTACGCTGTGGTTTGATGTTTTCTTTACTCCTCGACTGATCTTTAATATGATAATGATATTAATATGATAATGATCAGGACTGCAGTGATTAGTCGACCTAATCAGCCAAGCAAATAATCCAAATATCTGATGGTCTTCTCATCATCTCACTTTAGTTTTAAACCTCATACTGTGAACCTTTGTCACATTTCTGCACACAGCTACTGCCCCTAAAAACTGCACAGCTCTTCAGCTTTATTTCAACATATAGTGCATGTTTTTACAGCACACATTTTTGTCTCTTGCTGTCTGCAGTACTTTTATTGTTAATTTGAATGTGAAACCTTTTTGGCAAAACTTTTCTTCTGATATGTGATGACTTTCTGCTGTTTGTTGGTTTGTATCATTCTTAAGTGAATATTTTGGGTTCTACACTGTTGGTCAGTTATAAAATCGGATTTCAGTGTATTTAGTTTTGCGTTTTCACTATTATCTAACGTTTTTACACTCAACAATCAACTGAGAAAATAATCAGCAGATTCAGCTTTAATAATGATTGTTATTATATTCATAGTTATATTTGGGCAGCTTTGGTTTTTATTAATGTTTTTCCATGTTCCCTGATTATATAAAACGTTTTTTGTAAACAACATAACTGCTGTGTTTTCACAATAAAGGTCATGTTGAGGTTGAGATGATTTGTGATTTGTGTGTTGTTGTTTTTTGTCTTAAACATATTAAAATATTTTTCCTCTCCCCTGTCGTCAGACCGCCTTATAGGTCTGCCAGAAGGTCGAGCCAGGAACCACAACCGACCTCAGCTGGTGCCGGCTCTGGCGGGGATCCACATCCAGGACGTGGCTGTGGGAGCTGAACACACTCTGGTGCTCTCCTCCACGGGAGAGGTTTACACCTGGGGCAGCAACTCTGAGGGCCAGGTAACCTGCTGACGCACGCACACACACACACACACACACACACACACACACACACACACACACACACACACTGATAGGTTGTCAGTCAGTCTGGACGGTCATGTTATACAGTAACAGTGACATTCAGTGAAACAGAAATGGAGCACAGTTCATCCATCGGATCACAATCTGGTGCCGTGATCAACAAGTTGAAAAAGTGCATCTTGTTATTCTAGATTTAAAGGGAGGATATTACACTGACCAGGGAGAAGCACTCAAACGACCCCTCTTCTAAAAGTCCAAATTAACATGTTCAGTTATCATCATTAATATCAGCACTCTAACCAGCTAAGTGGGTGTTTCCATTAAAAACAAAATGCAGATGGAGTCGACCTTTGAGCTGATCTGTATTTAATGACTGAAATCAGTGAACATTTACAAATGTTTCTTTGTGCTTTGTTTTCCTTCTAAAATGTTCCAGCAGTTTAAATACACACTTTTCTCTTATTTTAAATGATTAAATGATGTTTAATTTGGGAGATAAGTTACTATAAATTATTACTTCCTGTAACTTTGAGCTGTATCTTTGCCGTGCAGCTTGGTCTGGGACACACCAACCACGTCAGAGAACCGACAGTGGCGACGGCGCTGCAGGGTAAAAACATTCACCAGATCTCTGCTGGACGCTGCCACAGCGCTGCATGGACGGCTCCCTGTGTGCCGCCTCGAGCGCCAGGTTAGACACACACGCACACACACATACACACTGTCATGGCGCTGCTGTCTAACAGGCAGACACTATACCCTAGAGGTCAGATTTCCTGCAGAGCTGCTGGATGTGTAGTAAATACCTGAGTGAGGCACATTGTTGTCAGACGAGGCACCGCCGTCGTTTGGTGAACAAACACTGAGGAATTTAATGTGTTGTTGTTTGAATGCTGCTCAGTCTTCATGTGTCAAAGGACTTTATTCATGAGATGTAAAAAAAATATACATCGTAAAATGTGACATAACTTAGGTGGAATCCATATTTGAGGTCTCAAAACAAAACAAATTTCTTTTTAAGTTTTATGTTTAGTGTTTACGCTTTTTTTTTTTTAACAAGTAATTTTTATACTAAAAATACCACAAATATACTTTTTACCTGCTGCGTTCAGAGCTGTGTGTTCAGTGTGATTTATGAAGGCCAAGTTACATTTTGTTGCATTTGCAAATATAATTTTCTTATAACAAACTCCTGCTCTGTCCTCCTCTCTTCCTCATGGTCAATGTGTCTCACTCTCTCCTCCTTCACCTCCTCAGGCTCATCGGTTCCTCTCCAGCTGGGTCTCCCTGTGGCGGTGCCTCCTCAGTACAGCGGGCTGAAAGAGGTCAGCATCGAGGCGGTGAGGGCTCGACTGCGACTCCTCTACCACTTCTCTGACCTCATGTACTCCTCGTGGAGGCTGCTCAACCTCAGCCCCAACAACCAGGTAGGAACAGAGGAGGCAGTGAGGAGCTAATCAAAGATTCAGGGTCATTGTAGAATTTAATACCGATCTTCAAACACTGATCAGGGTGTCTTTGCTCTGAGCACATGGTATTGGTGGCAATAAATTAGGACGTAATAAAAATGTATTTCTCCATCACACTTGTGCAGATTTCATGAAATGTCAAACTGAACATTTTTAATAAAAGAAAGGAACTAAGCTTCACATATGTAAGGCAGTAAAATGTATTTCACACATTGTGTCTGAGAAGGTAATGATAGTAAATGTTCCTCTGCAGAGCTGTACGTCCCACTATAACGCTGGTACCTGGGGGATCGTTCAGGGCCAGCTGAGGCCCCTGCTGGCCCCCAGAGTGTACACTCTGCCCATGGTGCGCTCCATCGGTAAGACCATGGTGCAGGGTAAAAACTACGGCCCCCAGATCACCGTCAAACGGATCTCCACACGGTCAGTACTCCATAATACAGACGTTCCCCAGTTTGAATACCCACACACATACACACACACACATGTAAGGGATAATGTCCGATGAGGTTTCCAAGATGGACACCTTGTTTGCATTATCCCTCGTATATCATGGTTGGAGCTTTTCTTAGTTTTGCACAATCCTGTAGGTCAATGAAAAGCTTCTGACGTGTTGCTTCAATAGGTTTAACTCATTGTTCCTTTTTCCTCTTTTGGACGTGAACTCTCTGCAGAGGACGGAAATGTAAACCCATCTTCGTACAGATCGCTCGTCAGGTTGTGAAGCTGAACGCCTCGGACCTCCGACTGCCCTCCAGAGCCTGGAAGGTCAAACTTGTAGGCGAGGGGGCTGATGACGCCGGAGGGGTCTTTGATGACACCATCACAGAGATGTGTCAGGTACAGACACACCTGTCCTGTTTGTCACAGTTACTCTTGAGAAGCCAGGCTGTGATTGGATGTGTCAGCATACAGAGGTATTTAATAATGATTGTTCTGTAAACATGTTTGTAGGAGTTGGAGACGGGAGTGGTCGACCTGCTCATCCCCTCACCCAACGCCACAGCAGAGGTCGGCTACAACAGAGACAGGTAAGGAAACAAGGAAACACACCTGATGCACCTTTTTGGTTTTTGCCACCTCCTTATCCTAACATACCCATGTAATCAATCTAGCATTTATTTATTGTATGTATCCTGCAGTAATCAGTGTGTAGCTGCTGCCATGTTGAGGCAGAGGGTGCTGTCTGTAGCTCTGGTTGAGGGTGAGAGGCTGTCAGCAGATAAACAGAGATCTGTGTGGATACATGAGACCCTAAAAAAGAAGCTGGATCATGGGGAGTACCACCAGTTAGTCCAGGAGCTTCTCCTCCATCATGGACGTTTACAGGCAGATTTTAGGACGACTCAGGGGCAGTTTGACAACCTGCTGTCTATCATCAGGCCTAGCAAAACAAAAATGAGAACAAACTACAGGAAGTCCATTGGTCCTGCCGAGCGTGTCGTGACAACCACAGAAGCCCCGCCTCTCAAATCATCCCATTGGACAATGGAAAAAAAAACAAAGATGACGGAGGGGCTCTTTTCTGCTCTGAGTTTAAGTGTTTTCAGTTCGAGTAGTTCAAAGCGCTGTGGCCAAAACAGCAGGCACCCAGAGCACCAAAACACGAGGCGCGTAGCAGCACAAAAACAGCGAGCAAAAGTCATTCTCATTAAAAACAATTTCAAAAAAGCCTCCAGCTGCTGAAACGCTCTCTGTGTGATCAGGACCTGAGCCAAGAACACATCTGTCTTTATGACATTACTTTTGAAGGATGATACTGATGAGAACTTACTTCTGGCAGTTTGTTAATGCATCGCTTCACTCCAGTGCTGATAAAAGAAACAAACAGCACGGGATCGTGATGTTCTTTGGTTTGGAGAAAATAAATAAACAAAGACAGATTCTTTTTATTATTTCATTTAATGTAAAATATATCAGATTTTCTGACTTTGTGGGTTCGTGGGCTGCAGCCCTGTGGCACGTTGATCTTTTGCAGCCGTCCCTTTTATCTTTGTAACTTTGTCAAGGTCAGTTTGTCTCTCAGCTCCTCCCTATACAGACCTCTGACAGAAACTCCCTGAAACATTGAGTCAAACAAATCAGCTCCACACAAAGCTTCACCCCCTGTTGTGAAAACTGCAGCTTTAATTAGATTTTCAAGATAAACTGTAGGATACAAGAACAAAACCTGTCATATTCATGAAGTTAAACATACTGAAATATTGTTACTGAAGCCCCAGAGTGTTATATCTTTATAGATTACTGTCCAGTTTCAGCTCATTATGTTGGATGACAGTTTATTTATGTTCAGGGTGAACTGAGCTTTCAAAAGTGTTTTCACTCTACAGCAGCAAAACAGTGTTACAACATCAGGACAAACAATGTCTCAAAATTCTCCTGTAGCACAGTCAACAGTCCAAATGCAGTTTATGTCCTCGAAACATGTACACATAATCATTTATGTAAGTAATTAAGATGTCCTCAAACCTCCAGCTCCATCAGAGCGCTCAGTGCCTGACCTGACTCTACGTCTTAAACTCATTTGTGTGATAACAAATATAAATCCAACAATATATCTGTGCAGATTCCTCCTGAACCCGTCTGCCTGCCTGGACGAGCACATGCTCCAGTTTAAGTTCCTGGGCATCCTGATGGGCGTGGCCATCCGCACCAAGAAGCCCCTGGACCTCCACCTGGCTCCGCTGGTGTGGAAACAGCTGTGATGCATCCCCCTGCTGCTGGAGGACCTGGAGGAGGTCGACCTCCTTTATGTGCAGACGCTCAAAAGCATTCTTCACATTGAAGACAGCGGCATCACCGAGGAGAATTTCCATGAGGTGGGAAACATTTTTGATTCTCATGTGAAGGTGACGATGGTCACAGTTTGTAGGTTGTGGGTTTTCACATTGTTTTATGGAATGTGTGAGTGGGTGAAGTGATTGTATATTTGATTTTATATTTTAGTAAATGAACTGGAAAATCAATTGAGAAACTGTTTTAAGATATAAAACATCAACAGTCTGTTGAGGTAAATAAAATAAATCAAGATACTTCAACGTAATTATCAGACTTCAGTTGTCACAGAAATATCAGTTTCATTTTTTACTGCAGTTAAATACATTTCCTGTCTGAGGGTCCATACACATGCTGCGTTTTTGTGTCCTCATGTTCATCGTTGTCACTGTAGACACGTGGAAGGTGTGCTCAAAAGCAAGAGTGATGCCGTCATGGTGCACAAGCAATCCCAAGAGCTTATTTTTTAGGGTCCAACAGCTGATAGTTAAACACAGTTCAACTTTTGGAATGCAGCAGTGCACACTGCGTGTCATGTGATGAGGACCAACCAATCACAGCTGGCAGATGTTTTACTTTCTTCTGTAGGTAAGCACTCTGTGGTTGATCATTTTAGCGTAGGGCTGCTCAGAGCTTTACGTCTGCATCACAAACAATAGGAGAAGAGAGGTGTCACTAAATTCTACACCCTACTTCAACCCAAGGTGATATGTAAACTCATCTTCATTGGTCGACTACAAACATGACGTATCATCTGAAACATGGAAGTAGCTACATGCCCATTAGCCCACAGCGTCATTAACAGGCGGCTCGCTCAGTGTGTGACGTGCACTTGGAGATAAAATATAGGCCTATATTAATGAAGG